CGATTTGTGAACATAGACACTAAATGCTCAGTCCCCTCGCCCTTCAGCAAATTCCCGACTCTCACTGGAAGCAGAACGCCTTGCGTGCATTGGGCCGCTGCAGATTCGATCCTTGACCCTACCAAAGGATCATGTGCTGGCCACGTTCTGCCCAGAAAGTATCTGCCACCTACATCTGACATCAGAAATCCTGCGAGGCGAACACAAATGTAGTAGCTAAAGATCACTGGGCCATGGGTCCACAGCTCAACACACAAAGACAAGGCCCACGGTGTGTACTAAGGATATGATGCCTCATGGACCGGGACGGACTTTTGGTTCCTGCTGAAAGAGACCAGAACTCCTGAGGGATTTTAAGAAGTGGAGAGACAGGGTGTCAAGCTGAAATTTGGGAAGTCCCCTGTGGTGGGGTATCGACGGAGGCTTCGTCGGGGGCACCGGGCGAAAGCCTGGAAATGGTCTCAACTGGGACAGGCTTCGCGGCCTTCGACTGCTTGTTCCGACCTTTTGCTGGGCTCCTCTAGCACAGTGTCTGATTCTAGGCACGGGGGCCGGAACCCTGGCATTTCTGCAAAGATCCCGGGAGAGGGGGGTGCTGTAGGTCTGGGAACCATTCTTTGAACAGCTCCGGATTTGGAGGAAGATGAGCTACGTTGGACAACTGCAGGTATTTGGTGGCAGGCGTGGACCACCTGAGCGAGGCCACGGGCAGATGGGACTGGGAGAAGAGCAAACTGGACTGCCGTTTGACGTTAATGACTCACTCCCTACACGGCAGCCTGAACACGGGATTGTTGGCTTTGACTCCAAATCATGTCTACCTGTGGAACGGCCCTCACGTTTTTCTTCTTGAAACCCACGGTACGACAAATGCCGTCCGTGGCGCACAAGGACCAGCACGCTGTCGTTGGTTTCTCACGGATGCATGCCCTATCGCACAGATCCCACCACTCTGGAGCCATGCCAGAGGAGGCCAAGGGCTTTCGGGCTTCTAATCTGGTCTCTACCTCTCCTGACACCTTTCCTTGCTAGCTTCCTTCTGGGACGAAAGATGCCCATCGGACACGCTCTCAGTGGGATTTGAGTCTCATCGTTAAGCTACAGGCATCATCTGAACGTTGATGTCATTGACGTCAAAGAAGTGTCAGGGACCAGGGAAATCTTTCCTTTTTCCATGTTCCTGAATTTCATCCCAACGCCATCAGCTCACTTAGCACCCCTCCTATCCAAGACTCTCCAAGGGGTCCTGACGTGAAATCCAGGACGACTGGTACAGGGAAGCTATGCAAGACATGGCCTTTCCATCACTTCTTGGTCTCGCCTGCTCTGAAGCCTCTGTCCCTTGTGCCTTTCTCTTCAGGGTCAAGAGAACGACAACAACAACAACAAGCACAACATCACGAGCAAGCACAAAAGACGGAAAAACCTGCTGAAAAGGGGTATACGTGCTATCACCAGTCGAGGTGACGGGTCAGATGTCTGTTAGCCCGGACGCTATGGCACTGAGCAGCACTGCCTGAAACCAGTTGCTTAGGCGTCGAAGGGCTCCGTCCGTTCTTGGGAACTGGCTTTACCTGGTATGTGGCCAGGGCTGGTGGTGAAGGCGGGGCCCGCTCCAGTGCTGCCTAGGCTGCCAGCATTGAGGGTCGTGGAAACTGGACGTCCAGCAACACCTGAGAAAACCGTAGAACGGACTGCTCATTTCAAACACACTTGCCCTTTACTCCCAAAGGGGAATGTACCTCTCCCGCCAGTTCCCCACAGAGAAAACGGAAGCGACTTTCTTCCAGCGACTTTCTGTCCAGACTTCCCTAAGATTTTGTTCTAATATAACTTTCCTCCACTTTTTGGTATCATCCTCGCTACTTCCTTCTGAGGCTGGTTGTGGCCTTCTTTGCCACACTCATGCTTTCCACATCTCAAACTGGGTCATCTTAGGTCTTCCTCTACATATGTCCATGACGTTACTTCCAAAGATATGGAACCTTCCGCCCTCCTCACACTATCCCTCAGGGATGCTAGGAACAATGAGGAAATGACCGGACGGAGCTCATGGCACCCTTCCACTTAAAACACCTACGAGACCAGAATATATCTTTAGACAGAGGCACCTTTGCTCTCATGCTAGTCTACCTTTATTTTTTTTTAACATGTCGACTGTGATGCTACTGAGTTCTGTCAGAGGGACGATATTCATGGGTAGCGAGATGGAAGAACGTCAAAGGGGAACCCCTACATAAGCCCGTCCCTCTAACTTGGTCCAAACCAAGTGGAATTTAAGTCTTTGGCAATACTATTGGAAAACCAGAGGCAAAAGCTCCGTAAATTCCTTTTTGCCGGGTTTTCTCCAAAGCCATACTCTCATACAAATTCTATCTCAAAAACCCAAAGTTCCACATCATGTTCAGTGTGAAACTGTTTTTCTCTCCTTTTTGTTTATTTATTTATTTATTTATTTTTACTTCTCGGTCCACAAGACGTTTTGGCATAATATACTAACCTGTCGTGGAACGTTCAGTCTGGAGACCTCGAGCTGTTCCTGAGAAGAAAGAAAGAAATGAGGGGCCACTTGCGGACTCAGTCCGTTAAGCCTCTGTGTTCAGGCTCTGCTCATGATCTCAGGGTTGTGGGCTGCAACCCGGGGTTGGGCTCCGAGCTGGGTGTGGAGACTGCTTCAGATGTTCTCTCCCCTTCTCCCTCTGCCCCTCTTGCTCGTTCACCACAAAGGGAAAAAAAAAGAAAATAAAAAACAAAACCAAAACAAAAGAAAGAACAGAATTGGCCTCAAGAAAAGTAAGTGAATTCTGCAAGTTGGCTCGGGTCACTGACAAGGCTGGGACTGAAATCCAAGTCATCCAGTCCCTCGGACCATAACTCATAGGGCATTTTCAGGTAAGGCTGCCTCTGCGAATCATGAACCGCCTCTTGGAGTTTTTGGAGCACCCAGGCTTCCTAATGATGGAAATGTCATACTTGAGACCACCAGAGAAACAGAGAAGAGAACATCACGTGAGTACGACCGTGTCCTTTTTCGAATGCTTCACACCATCGCTATGATCCATGTGTTAAGGGGTGCGAGAGAAGGTAGATGTGAGCATGCTCAAAGGCAGTGTTATGCTTTAATTGACAAGGCTTGCCCAGTCCGGGCCAGGCACACTCCACCCACAGACCAATACAGATCTCATCTTTTCCCACCGATCCCAAGCTCACGGGACATGGAATGGACACGTCTTGCTCATCGGCATGGGAGGGTCATGTAGAAAGACTCTTTGACCCTGACCCCCAGAGACTCTCAAGAGGACAATGATGCAGCAGGATAGACCATGATCCTCCCGACCATTTCGGTGCAGATTCCAGTTCCCTCGAGAAAGTTCACCTTTGGGGCATTTCCGTGATTCCCATCTGAGCTCCTGCCGATTGGACACAACAACCCTTCATTCAAGGCAGCATGTTCCCGTGGCACACAATCAACTCTTCTGCAAAATAGCCACATCTAAACGGGCTCTGATCCACACAAGGTGAAGGGGAACACAGTGGCTCACCACAGATGGTAGAGGACACATTGCAAATGTCTCTAGCTTAGGAGTGAGAAAACACACGTCTAGGGCTTTCCTGGTGATGGATGGGGCTAACGAGGCAATGGGCTCCCCTTCTCTCTATCCCTCTCTCTCTCTCTCTCTTTCTCTTTTTGTTGGGTGTTTTGGAGATGGGGATCTCAGGGACCCATCTTGCATCCGGGCCCTCAAGTGTCTCGAAACCCATCACAGATTGGAGTACAATGAATTTTCTAGCTACTACGAAGGCGTCGTGATCCCTCGAAGGATCCCTTTCGTTTGTACGGAAACGGACACTATTTGGCCATCCTTGCTGTGCACATTCTAGTGGTCTTCAATAGAAATGCCTGCAAGGTCAGCTTCAGGAGGATCCATAACGTGCTCCCTAGCACACATGACGTTTCGGACCGCAGAGCTTGCTGTTTGGGCAACATATCACATCCCGGAGAAAAATACCCCCTAACGGTGATTTTAACCTAGGAAGGACTGTGCTTCCGCTTCCTCGAAAGCCTCCAGCTCCTTGGCTAAAATAGAAACTCATGGACACAACGGATGATGCTCCCTCAAAAGGATAGTCTCCAGAGAGGGCCTCTGACTGAGCACTTCCTGGGTCTTACACTAGGCGGCACTAGCACAGGGAGTCTGTCCGCAGGTCCCATAAGGGAGGGGTATGTCCTTCCCCCTCCACGAAGGAGGAAACTTGATGTGGGAAGCATGCGAAGCCTTCAACTAGGGTCAGACAGCTGGCAAGGAGAACAGAAGGGATTCCATTTCTTTCGTTTTCAGCCTCGACAGCATACCTAGCCTGATGCACTTACTTCCCTGCCGTCATGGATGCTCTCTTAGAATAAACTCCTGCTGCCCACAGAATTCCTACCGAACCTCTAGCTGTGCCCGTCTGACACTCTAACTTTTGGAGAACAGGCGAAATGCATTTGAAGACCTCACGTCCTTACGTCCCAGAAGCCCCCCTGGGACGTACAAAAGCCTTGGCCTCGGAAAGACATTCTCAACGCACTCCCACCTGCCTTTCAGTGCTGGGGACTCCAGGGGTCTCGCCGACTGGCGAGCCCCTGCTCCCGCTCCAATCCGACACTAACTCTCTACTAGGAGCTTTGGTGGCGCAGAACACACTGTGTTGCCCTCTGCTTGCAAAGGACTTTCCGTACAGTGGTTCGTGGAACAGCTTCACGCACGTGTTCCTGTGGGCACGTGGGCCTCAGCTCTCCCTTGGAGCCAGACGGGCAAAGCATGACCCCATGCCCATCGGGACTCAGGCTCAGAAGCCCAGAGGCAGGAATCTGGGCATTCTGAGCACACGCCGCTCTGCTGTCCATGACGTCTGCGCGGAGGCTCGAGAAACCCTGCCGAGAAGAAGCCCACACACACCAGGACAGGGGGCCGCCCAGGAGGACGGGCACTACCAACTGATTAGGAACCCCTCCCTCAGAAGCCACCGGCAGCTTCCCGCACGTCAGGAACAAGATGCTTCCCACCTTGGATTTCCATACCTGCTCTGTCTCCCAAGGTTGTGCCTGGGCCAGCTGAATCTCCACTTGTCTTCTCACTCCCTGCGGCTGTTGTGAAGCCCTCTGTTCCTTCTGGGGTCCCTGACACGACAACGGGGAAACGCTTTTACTGCTAGACAGGCAGGATTCTGCATAACCCTCTTCCCGGACGGGACAGAAGTCCGCATTCCCACACAACCGCAGCTTTCAAGGACTCCTAGGGTGTCTGCAGCTACATAGCTAGTATCAGTCTCACATCACACACAGCTCAGTCGTGAGTTCGCCCTGTGTCACGTTCAATGCCACCACATAGGTGCTAAGGGGCCCATCCTGACTTGTCTGATTTCCCTGCGCTTGGCGCTCCTGGGCTAGGTTCCATGGGCGTGCTGTGTTCTTTACCTCCTCTGGTGGCTGCGGGCGGGCTGCCGGTTCCTCCTGAAAACAGACAGCACACTCCACATTACCCTGGGCACAAATCAGTGCATTTGCTCTGACAGAAGGCCTCCCCGGCAGGTGCTAGTAGGGGTCCCACGGAGCGGACGGCGCTCAGGGACCTGCTCCATGTTTGCTAACCCAGTTTCATATTGATGAATTCTAAAAAGTACCAGTGATAATGTCTTGATAATTACTGTTTCTATGTTTGGGAATACCTGACTTAATTTATTTAAAGCACACAATTTGTGGCACCGTTGAACTAATATAATGTGATTGAATTTTTCTTGTATCTCAATCTGACAGAGAGCCTTAGTGATATTTGTCTTTGAAATGATCATTTTATTAGAATAAATTTTTGTTTGTATGAATAAATATGAAGGGAGAATCAATGCCTATTTCTCTTAGAAAATTCCTTTTTCTTCTTATTGTGTGAATCTGGTAAATTTATTTAAACTCTTTCATCTCTTTCTCTGTTTTACAATGAAGTTTGAGAAGTGTTCCTAAGAATATTATTACTCAGTGAGAGTATTGTTTAGTTTTATTTTAATATTGAATGTCAAATTATATGTAATGACTCAAATGCAGTAAACCCTTCATAAATGCTATTACCTCTATCTTATAATGTAGTACTAATATGGTGTATTACTAAATTATTAATTATATACTATAGAACATGAAATAGCTACTGGAACTTCAGTGAAATAAATAGAACACTAGGATTCTCTAAGGCTAAGCATAAAATATCTTAAATAAAACTTCATGTTTGGGGCAGAGGAATCTTCTGGGTGATCTTCTTAAAATTCAACTGCACATTAACTTTACGATTTTTTAAATACTATGGTGGAGATAATTTGTGAGATTTTTGTCCTGTTTTATGGTTAATTAAAAATTTTACATCTTAAATGTCATTAGTTGGTCACAAAACCTCCTTAGGTAATCTACTCATGACCTTCAGTTTTACATAAACGTTTTGTTTGCTATACTGCAAAGTGTTGGCAATATAAAATTGCCAAATATTATGTTCAAAACTGAATTCTCGGGGAAAGAAAAGCAATGAAAGGAATTCTATGTATTAACTGGAAAAAAATCATGCCACTTTTCTTAGTTCTGGGTGTCTAGTGTGATAGAGGATGCAGATGACATTTTTACCTTAAAATAGTTACCAAAATTTGTTGTGGCTCATGCATAACTGCAAAATTTATCAAATCAACAGTCAAGAGTAGTTTTATTTCTTTAAATTAAACCACAAGGAATTCAAGCTAGTTCAGCCACTTTGAAAAACAGCATGGAAGAAAACAGCAGGGAGGCTCCTCAACTACTAGGTATTTACCCTAAAGATATAAATGTAGTGATCTGAAGGGGCGCGTGCACTTGAATGTTTATAGCAGCAATATCCACAACAGCCAAACTGTGGAAAGAACCTAGATGTCCATCCAGTAGATGAATGGATAAAGAAGATGTGGGGTATATATACAATGGAATACTATGCAGCCATCACAAAAAATGAAATCTTGCCATTTGCAATGACGTGGACAGAACTAGAGGGTATTATGCTTAGCAAAATAAGTCAATCAGAGAAACACAATTATCATATGTTCTCCCTGATATGAGGAATTTGAGAGGCAGAGTGTGAGGGGCTGGGGTGTAGGGAAAGAAAAAATGAAACAAGATGGGATTGGGATGGAGACAAACTGTAAGAGACTCTTAATCTCACAAAACAAACTGAAGGTTGCTGGGGGGAGGATGGGTATGGAGAGGGTGGTTGGTTATGGACATTGGGGAGGGTATGTGCTATAGTGAGTGCTCTGAAGTGTGTAAGCCTGACAGTTTACAGATCTGTATCCCTGGGGCAAATAATACATTATACGTTAATAAAAAAAAAGAAAGAAAGAAAGAAATTTTTAAAAAAAGAATGCAAAAAAAAAAAAAAAAACCACATTGAGCTACCACCTTACACCAGTTAGAATGGCCAAAATTAGCAAGACAGGAAACAACGTGTGTTGGAGAGGATGTAGAGAAAGGGGAACCCTCTTACACTGTTGGTGGGAATGCAAGTTGGTGCAGCCACTTTGGAAAACAGTGTGGAGATTCCTCAAGAAATTAAAAATAGAGCTTCCCTATGGCCCTGCAATTGCACTGCTGGGTATTTACCCCAAAGATACAGATGTAGTGAAAAGAAGGGCCATCTGTACCCCAATGTTTATAGCAGCAATGGCCACGGTCGCCAAACCGTGGAAAGAACCAAGATGCCCTTCAACGGACGAATGGATAAGGAAGATGTGGTCCATATACACTATGGAGTATTATGCCTCCATCAGAAAGGATGAATACCCAACTTTTGTAGCAACATGGACGGGACTGGAAGAGATGATGCTGAGTGAAATAAGTCAAGCAGAGAGAGTCAAATATCTTATGGTTTCACTTATTTGTGGAGCATAACAATTAACATGAAGGACATGGGGAGATGGAGAGGAGATGGGAGTTGAGGGAAATTGAAAGGGGAGGTGAACCATGAGAGACTATGGACTCTGAAAAACAACCTGAGGGTTTTGAAGGGGCAGGGGTGGGAGATTGGGGGAGTGAGGTGGTGGGTATTAAGGAGGGCACGTATTGCATGGAGCACTGGGTGTGGTGCAAAAACAATGAATACTGGTATGCTGAAAAGAAATTTAAAAAAAAGTATCGTAAAAAAAATAAAAATAAAAATAAAAAAATAAATTAAACCACAAGTTTCAAAAGTTTTAATAGCTGACAGAATGATTATAACTAAAAGAAAACTATGAAACAATGAAATTAATATTCTTGGAAACAGAACCAGACTATTAGAAATTCAGTCCATTGCTTTTAGCTGAAATAATATGCAGCCAGTAAATTATTCTGCAGTGTATAAGAAACAATGCAGAAGAACTATTGGTATGAAATTGTTACCAGGCCTTGGCAAGTAAATTTACAATTACAGAAGAGGGAAAAATTCTTCTAAAACCTGTCAGTCTTTCCATGGCTTACACTGAACAAGCCAGGAATGCTAGTGATAGTACATAAGGGAAAGTTTGGTGAGAATTAAACATGTTAGTCTGGGCATTTTTAATGGTATTCCATAATATGAATTGCTGATACTTTTAAGATATTTACTTGCCCTTTGAGTATGAGTGATGTATTAATCACCAAATAAATCTGACAATACTAAGAATCACCAAAATACCCAAAATTATAGTCATAATTCTATATCATGACATAAAATTACAATCCTAAAATAATCTCCATTTTACAATATTTCTGTTTCAGAGAAGGAATATTACTTCATGAATAAAATGTACAAAGTATAAGATTTATCAGTATAAGTAAATCTAACTAATAATCTAAGCTTCACTGGAAATTCTGTGCCTCCCTACCTCACAAAAAAACAATGAATTATAAATTTGGGACAGGGAAATTGAAATATCCACTTTTTCTACAAATATATATATATATTGGAACTAGGTACAACTGGGAATTCAGGGATGGCAAAATATGGTCTGAGACTTTGAGAATGTTAACTAGATTTGTGGTGATCATTTTGCAATTATATACAAACACTGAATTACTATGAGGTACACTTGCAAGTAACATAGTGTTTTATGTCAATTATACCCCAATAAAAAATATCATGGATTTAAATACATATATATATTAAGATTTTTTTCAATTTATTTATTTTAGAGAGAGGGAGAGCATGCACACACAAGCACATGCGAGGGAAGGGGCAGAAAGGGAGGGTGAAGGACGTGCAGACTCCACGCTGAGTGTAATGAGCCCTGTGGGGCTTGATACCAAGACCCTGAGATCGTGACCTGAGCCAAAATCAACAGTCAGATGCTTAACTGACTGAGGCATCCAGGGGCTCTTAGATGCATATATTTAGAAAAAAAAAAAAAAGAGAGAGAAAGTATTAAATAACAGGAGAAAGAGAAATAGTGTTCATTTGGCGGGGGGGGTAAGACCAGTGTAAATGAGTGGGTATGTTGATTAAAATATATTTTAGATTGGGCGCCTGGGTGGCTCAGTCGTTAAGCGTCTGCCTTCAGCTAGGGTCATGATCCCAGGGTCCTGGGATGGAGTGCCTCATCAGGCTCCCCAGGATCCCTGCTTCTCCCTCTCCCACTCCTCTTGCTTGTGTTCCCTCTCTCACTCTCTCACTCTCTCTCTCTGTTAAATAAATAAATAAAATCTTTTAAAAAAATAAAGTAAGTTTTAGATTAAAAAATTTTTAATATACATAAAAACTGTATTTGTCAATTTATAAGCTTTCTGATTTACCTATTGTTTCACTGCTTGATCTTGTAAGCACTGGAGTGGAAGCTGCTGAATTAGAGAAAACAATGGAAAAATTAATTTTGTATAGAGGAAAAGTTATGTTTTTGAGAACATAAAACATATATACATTCATATATATATATATATAAAATGTATAAACTTGAAATTAATGTTTTAAAGAAATTTGATCATATACAGGTAACTAGATGTTAAAATGAAGAATTGAATCTTTCAAATCCATAGACCACCAGTAAGAGGTCAAGAAAACATCATTTTGTATAACATTTTTCCAAATGTTCCTCTAAAACATTCTTAAAAACAAAACAAAATTCCCCTTAATATGTCATTATAAAGTTATAATACTGCAAAAGGAAGTTTGGGATTTTTTTTAATGCCCTCTTGATTAAGTTGTGGTTGAAGATTATGGTTTACCTGCGCCTGAGCTACTGGTTACTGATGTAATTGCTATACAAAGAAGGAGACAAATATTTGGAGATATATGTTAAATTGTGTTAAAAGACAAAATTAAAAGTATTTATTTAGAGATACGCTCACATATATCTAGAATGTAAACAAATGATTAAATGTAAGAGTTAAATTCATTTATGAAATATTCACACACCTGAATATACTTTTGTTCTCCTTTGGCTATTACTTTATTAGAAATTATTCAATTAAAGTTAAGATTCCTTGATATTAGTAAAAGAGAAGTTATAAATTATTTTTAAAGAATTTAACATACAATTTTCTTTAGTGGTAGAATTTGCTTCACTTTCTCCAAATCAGCAATGTGCAGAATTTTTTTTTAAGGATACATATCCTCTGAATATATTTAGGAAGGAATTTTTTTTAAGGATACATATCCTCTGAATATATTTAGGAAGGAATTTTTTTTTAAGGATACATATCCTCTGAATATATTTAGGAATATATTTAGGAAAGATGTTCTTCGCTAATACTACAATTCGGTGAGACCCTTCTATTTGGCATTTAGTAAATAAATAAAGAAAAACAAGTTTGAAAAAAGGGACAAATTGCCTGAATTGAAAATTCAATTTGCTGCCAATTTAGAAGGTAAAAAGCAAACTTTTTTTTTAAAGCTGCTTCAGTGCTTAATATGGGGATAACTGTTGCAGTACAAACTGTGTAAAGACAATATTTATTAAAGTAAGTTACTTAAATAATTTTATTGGGAAATTTATTTTAAAAACCACTTACTATAACCCAAAGAAACATTTCTAAAATTGTATTCAGAGGTTAAGTGACAAAATAATCTCTCATTATGTCAACACAAATAACACTATATGTTTATTATATATCCACTAAAAATAACTATTTCCTGTTATTACCACTTAGCCAAAATCTCAAAGGAATCTCACAAGGTCTATTTAAAGGCCAAGAAATAAGGTTCAGAACCCTGACTTGTGATACCTTAGCTTTAGGTAAGTGATCAATAATAACTAAAATTTAAGTAGCATTTTATAGACAATAACATAATTTTAAATATATTATCAAAATCTAAGTGCTCCAATTTACTTTACTATCTCTTAATTGCACAATATTCATTTCTGAATATTGGTCTACAGGAAATAAAACCCCACCCTGAATCACACAAAATAGGAATATATAAGTATACCGCAGCAACTGTAAGTATACTTATACTGCCAGCAAATTACAAGTCCCCAACTAAAGTTAAACTGCATCTGTCCATACTCACTTGAATAGACATAACTGAAATGTCCTTATAGCTGACAGCAAATAAATGAGTTAAGAAAAAGAAATTAACTTTTTATTTCTATATTTTCAAATTCCCTCCCAGGGTAATCATGACTTCAAAATATTTACTTCATGCAAGACCACATTTAACTCATTTTTATTCCATTTGTTCCAATTATTATCTAAAAATGTCAAGCTCTGGATGATGATATTTAACTAATAAGCATACATTACCTACTGTATGTTCTAATCATATTCCTAACTGAATACATAGGAGTATAGTGAAATAATATTTTGACAGATTCTCTAGTAACTGTTCATTCTTTTTTGTTACAGATTTACCAGCATACTTTTAACTGGCACAGACTATTGTGAAACTACAATGCATTATCTACAAAAAGAAATCAGAAATACACATTGTAAACCATTATGATTTTACCTGTGAATGTCGAATTTGTAGAAGCAGCATCTGAAATTATGATAAACTACTATTATTAACAAGAATGAAAAATTGTGGAAAAATCTAAATGTCAAATTGCCCATGAATTATCAGTAGCTTATCTTACTTCTTGCAATTTCTAATACAAGACAGGGAGTAGCTCATGTACTCTTTTAAAGCTTATTGAGATTTATCCTTAAGATCTCTGTTGCTCTTGAGTGATCCTTCAATTATTTAATTCTATCTATCTAATCCTCACCCTTCACTCCATCCCTTTTTGAAACAATTTGGACTGATGTCTCACTCCCTTAATTCCCAGAGCCTACAGATAGGCAGGGGCTCCCATGCAGCCCCAGAACTGCCTCGGTTTCCCAGCTGTTGGAAAAGCCTTTACAACCTTGGTTTGAAATGATGGGACATGAACAAATACACTGCAGTGAAATTGTCCCAAACCACTGAGGGAAGAGCAGTGGAAACCACCAAGTACCCACTCCTGTGCTGCTGAGGATCCGAAAAGAACCCACAGCCTTTACCTCGCCTTCCCTAATTTAATTAGAGCAAAAAACAAGAACTCACCACCACTGCACTCCAATTCTCCTGCGATACAATAGCTGCAAGTTATGTTTTAAAAAAAAGAGGCTGTAATTTTAACTCCTTATTACATAGACCTCCCAAATTTAAAACAACAAATTGTCTAATCGTGAAAATCAAAACAAAGCTAAGAGCACATTAAATCATCGTTTCCCCAGGAATATATTTTTGTGTGTGTGCTGTATTATTATTCATAATCATTTCACTGAGGCATTCTTGGTACCTGAAGTGCTTTGCAGTAAAAAAATAGTTCCTGCATTTGGTTCCTACATTTACAGCTTCAAACATGACGCTGATGGCCATGCAGCTCTAGTCTAGACTTCCCCTCTGCTTCCATGTCACTGTCTGAAGCCTATAAACATGATCTTACATTTACAGAATCAAAACTTTCTTCTTACCTAAAATTACAAGTGATATTTTCTGTCCTATCAACTGTATTATAAGATTCAACAAACCATTTATTGATATGTGGATTTCATGAAAATTCAAAATAACTAGCATAACTGACAAAGAACTCAACCTAATACAGGCCGTCTCGTTTAGAAATAAGAGAGCTAAAATTTATATATGTGTTTTTAAAATTTTTTTTCTGAATGAAAAAGTAGGAAATATAAGAAATAGAATAGCTCATTGGAAAGTTAGTAGAGAATGTACCATGTTCTCCCACAGTTATCCTGAATCACTCCGCCTGCTGGTACGATATCGTTATAGAAACAGCTGCACTCAGATAAACGGACGCATTTCATGAGGTTCTCATCCAGATAAGGAGCATTATCCGGGCACTTAGCATAACAACCTGTATGAAAAACGAACCGTGGTTCATTTCTATTTCCAGAAACTTGTCATATCACGCTCTATGTTTGTAAAGTTACATAAGTGGTCACATGAAATGAAGTAGATAATAGCAAAACGACATCACATTCTTGGTGAAAATATAAAAATTGAACAGGATTCAGATCCTCTTGCAATGGAGTATTAACCAAAGAACTAAGAACTTACAAATTTTGGCTGATTTATTTTTTTCTAAAATGTTTCCTAAAGTATTTTAAAATGATTTGCTACCTTAATGATGGCATGATGTTGAACATAATACAAGGCTTTGATAAACACATATCTTTGAAATGTGAAAGCCAGTTCTAAATATCTATTTTAATAAGGAGAGACAAAGATCCAAACGCCATAAGAAAATGAGTTGACAAGACTCTAAAGCCTGGGATCTAACACAGAGGTGACTTTGGGAAGTTTAAGCATCATCTTGTTTTCTTGACACTTCTTCCATTCGAGATATGTAATGGTAAGAAGAAAGAGCTATTTAAGTGTGGGATAGCGTTAACTGGACTATATTATACATTGCATTCTGAAACTACATTCTCAACCAATTATATTGTCTAATGAAAGGTATAAAAACTGACAATGGGATCCTACCACTGTGTTCTCCCCCACCATCTGTCTTATTAAAGAGATAATTTATGTCTGGAGAAAATGTTTCTAATGTAAAAATATTAATGTCATAATAAATAGAAATACCTATTCATCAAATTACAAAATGTAAGACTCTGAATTGGCAGAAATGAACAACATTTTTCAGTTGTAAAATATCGATATAATTTGCACTACTTTGAGGATATTACTAAAATACACCTTACCTTCTAAAACTGCAGAAAATTTCTGGCCAATAACTCGATCTCTGCATGTTTTTGTAGTTACTGTACCACAAGGTTCATAGCGCCAACTGCATTCCCCGGGTCCATTATAATAATCACAGAAAACAGCTATAATGGAATCATTTCAAATTATTGTCATTCATTATATGATGATTTTCACTTTCATTTTTCCACAATATTTTTAAAAGGGATTTTGAATGATATTAACAATATACAGACCTACAGTATATCATTCTATCTTATCAAGTCCTTTTGGCTTTATCCAAATTGCCATATGAGCCACAATAGCTCATGAAAAAGGAGAGGAAGCATATAGGATCAAAACAGCACTTTCCTTTGATATCTCACGCTAAGGTTGATTTGAGGTAGAAAATAAATGTTGATTTTTCCATTTTGAGATATTTTAGGTCGTAGTCCAGATTCATAGTTCTAATGTTCAAGCTTAAATTACAAAAATAAATCTCTGCAGAAATCAGGCTCCTTTATTATGTATGTAAATAACCATTCCTAAAGGAGGTAACTAAAAATTTCAATATCATGGTTTGCATGATAAATTGAACAAAATGTGGATTCAATATCAATATTTTTCATTTGTCATACTTTCTCTCATAATGTTTTCCATTAGAGGGGAGAGAGTTGACTGATTTCTACTAAATTTATCACATTCCATATATACCAAGATTCGGTTTACACTCATTTTACAGTTTGTCTTCACTAGCACTCTGGAAAATTTCTAAAATAATGTCTGAGGACTTCAACCCAAAGTAGTAGATGTGGTAAATGTTTACAGATATATGACAGTTCTCAGATAAGTCAACAGTTCATTGTTCATGTAAGTATCAGTAAGAGATATTTTCCATCAGTGTTTCATTGTTCCCCTGTTAACATAAGAACTTTTGCAACAAAAACTGACTTGATGTGTTGTGTCGGGTGTATGTTTTAAAATAGGTAGTTTTCCCATCATTAACATAGTAACATATTTTTAAAACTTTTTAGGCACAAGAATGTGTATTTTATAGGAAATCTGAGGGGAAGACTGATTCTCTAACAAAACAATTCTACCTAATGACATTTTTAAAGAACAACATATGGACTTGACTTACGACAGAGATCTGGTTTTCTCCATGAGACACAGACTCCAACTGCACTGCATGCCTCTGCATACATGGCCACAGCCGTGCAGAATCCCAAATATTTCCCCTCCATGTCACATGAGCAGGCTTCTTCAATACATGCTTCTAGGTAAGCTTCGGGGTCCACCTAGACAGAGCATAACACATGAGTTTCTGGGAGCAAAACCTGTGTGGGTTACTGCTCTCAGAGCCATACTACCTTGTGGTGGCATTCTTTGAAGGTGCTGTCCCGGATGATCCCACATTTCTGCACAGCCCAGGCTTTACAGTATGGGTTTGAGTCACATGGGAAATATTGTGCTGCTGTGTCTGCACATTTTTGACTCGTTTTCCAACTATTTCCAAATTCCAGTGCTCCAATAGCTTCTGATGAATGCCTTGTTATGAAATCATCCTTGAGATCACCATTGTTGTTTCCACAAAGACCACACACTTTGCCCTACAGAGATCAGAAAGGGAAATTAAGAGGAAGGTTGTACCAGGGAAATAGATATACCAAGAGATGAGATCAGAAAGGAAAATTACAAAGTAAGCTGCACGACAGTCATATGTAGAGACAGGTAGGTGAGGAAATTATGATTAAAAATAGTATCACGAATCTATTTTATTTTATTTTATTTTATTTTATTTTCAGTAGGCTCCATACCTAACGTGGAGTTTAAACTCACAACCCTGAGATCAAGAGTCACGTGCTCTGCTGACTGAGCCAGTCAGGTGACCCTACCATAAATCTATTTTCAACTCCAAATTTTGGAAGAAAACTAGAATCTGTGGGTAAGATTCTGCTCCTGTTTAATCCAAGACATCCTGTATCACAAAATGATCTATCAACTAAGATAAATGTATTAAGAATTGTTAAAAACTAGTTCTATTTACTAGCTTTAAATCATAGAGGAGTATACTCTTAAGTTCTTAGAACATTTGCGCCAAGAAATACATTTAATTTTATACATTCACCAGCTACCTTAAAATTGTATTATAAAATAATCTCAAGTAACCAAGCATAGTTAAACTAGAATGCTTCAGGTTTACTGCATTTATTTTTCATCAGATTCTATCATCTTTGACTATATTTCATGTTTCATGATAAGACTGAATAAATGTGGAATTGCTCTAAGAGAGAAACTACCACTCTCTCACTTTCCACAGATGAATTGTCTCTAATTCTCAGAAACAGAAATTATTTTCCTTCCCCATTAATCACTTATTAATGGTATACGTACATGCCAGCGAGGATCCAGTATAGCAGAAACTCTTGTATTCTTGTCCCAAATTATGGTTATCCCATTTAAAAATTTTAGAATCAGGTACAGGCCAACAGTATGTACGGAATATGTATTTTCACTGAGCCCACAGTCCTTACTTTCTGTAATTTTGGAGGCTGTTACTTTACCATCATGCAAGACAACATTCTGATCCTGTAAATTAAAAAACAGACTTATGATAATATCAGTTTTATCTGGCCACTCAAAATCTGAGAGAAAAAGTACGTTAATTGTTTCTCTTGAAACAGTACTTTACCTGAAAAGCAACTATGATTTTTCTTGAGCACGTAAGCCCATCTTCACAGCATGGGACGCTTTCAGTTAAAATACGGAATGTGCCACTTTCCCGACCGCAATAATCCTTTAAGAAGTAAATTATAATAACAGTTTATAAATACCAGGGACATGGAACTCAATTACAATATTGGCACCCGACAAGTAATTCTTAGATAGTGATAACTTAAACTCAATAAATTACCATGGAATTTCCAAAAGACAAGAGTTTAACAATATATACAGATAGGTAGTCTTGCTGGACTCCAACCTAGTTAACTGGTCTTCAACTGATCCTTTTCCTGTTACTTGTACACAAGTTCAGAATTATACCATAGGGGTGTGTGTGTGTGTGTTTGTGTATACACATATGTTTAAGAATTTAAATTATATAATGTAATTTATAATCAATGATTTATTTATAGACTCTATAAATAGCTGGATAAAGGTATTTTTCTCCCCCTTAGCGGTTTTTATGAAACTTGACATTCAACCAAACCTAATGCATAAATACAAAATAATCCAAATTTCAGCAATTAGATGTGACTTAGAAGCAGCTTGGCAGCATGTAACGAGCATGGACTCTGGAATGACAGAGATCTGGGTGTGAATATGGCATTTTCTACTTAGCAGTTCACGTTGCTTAACCTCTCTAAATCTCAATTTCTTCATCTGCATCATAGAGATAATACTATCAACCTTTGAGTACTTTAATGATTAGTTGTAATAAACTTGCTTGGCAAAGAAGTGCTCATAAAAGAGTAACTGTCATTCTTGTTGATAGTGCTGTTGTTAAAATAAGGATGTCTAACATTTATTGAGCACTTAGTATGTGCTCCAGCATTTGCCCTAATTTGGTTTCCAGTGGGGGCAATTTCCATCTCCATTTTACAGATAAGAAAACTGAGACACAGAGGGATTAAGGAATATGCCCATAGTCACATCAGAGAAATGGGAGAGCTACAACTGAAATCTAGGCCTACTGCCTCCCAAGTCAGCATGATATGATGTTATATTTTACTGCCTTTAAGAAACTTTTAAGGGACCATTTTTTTAAATTTCACATTTTGAGAGTAAAATTCTCCAGAGTTAATCTACAAATAAGTAACTATTATTAAGTATAAAAAAATTGTGATAAAACACATTTGTCATTACCTCAGCAAATGAATATTGGCAGAGACCATCAAAGCTGTAACTTTTTCCATCAAAAGTTCTAACATGACCTTCCCCATAGATGTGGCAGACGGTTTGACATTTATTTTGTGTACAGCTCCAAGATCCTTTTACGCAAGTACTAAAATTTTAAAAAAATTATGCCAAGATTCACATACTCATAATATTTTTATAAAGAAGCACAAAAGGCCTTGTTCTGTATTGATTTAAATTTTGTAATTGTCTTCATTATACTATATGATGTTCACCACATAAAATGCCAAATAAAGTTTCTATTTCAAAAAGTACAGCATAGCGACTGTAGTCAATAATAGTGTAATAACTTTGTACAGTGACATATGGTAACTACACCACTGTGATGAGCATTTCTTAATGTATATAACTGTTGAATCACTATGCTGTACACCTAAAACTAATATAATATTGCATTTCAACTATATTCAGTAGAACAATTTAAAAATTAAAATTTCCATTTAAAAAATCACTTTAAACTACTTGACTATTATTTTCCACATATACCAAAGAATGACTTCTTTCTTATAAAAATAAGAGCAGACTATAATTTCTAATATCCAAAACATATAAAATAGAAATTCTTTATTATGCACCAGTTGTTGCAGCCAACTGAGGTAACACTTCCTTGTTCATACTCCCCTCCACCAAAAGAACATGGGCAGTCTTCAGGAAAGACGCAGTTCCCTTTAGAATTTCGAACCATGCCTACTGGACAGTAGCACCCAGCTTTGCAAGGCAAGTTCTCCTATGGGAATAAATATAAAATATACACCATAAGGTACTGCTTTAACATGTCACAGTATCAGCATTAATTTATAATACATTTAGAGCCAATATTTGACAAGTCAAAATAACACAGAAAATATGACCTTCTCATTATTTTTCATTGATGTTTTAGTTTGCTTCTATCCTGACACAATTAAAAGTTTAAAAAGGCTAAACGTCAATACCATGGTACTTACATCAAAACCAGGCATGTTCCAAGCACCACATTTACTATCAACTCTTCTCTGTGCCCTCGGGCCCCTGCAGTCAACATATTCAGCCCCTCCAGAACAATTCTCTGCAGGATAAAAGAAATTGTTAATCAAGAGCCTCTTGATCTGCGTATTTTAACCTAAGCAGATCTATTAAGTCTGCATCATGATTTCAATACTTACGTTGGGCTGAACTAATGGGAGTCTGGCAAAGAAAATTTCCATCCCGACAGACACTGGAAATAGAAGAAAGTTTGATTTAAACTTCAAACTCCAATGACAACTTCTTAATATACCATTAGAGCAACTTTAACCCCTCATTCACAAGTTTTATCACAAGTAGATGAATGAGACACAGCGCCCCAGAAACTATACAACATGTACCCAGTTAGAAAATACAGCATTGTACATGTTATAGGAACGTACAAGGAAGGTTCTGTGAGTCCAAGACAGTGTTTATTCATCTTTGAAACTCCAGCCCTCAGCACAAGGCCTGGCACATGGCAAATATCTATTTAATAAGTGCTTGTTGAATGATGAATGTTGAGATACAACTAGAAAGCATGGTCTGTACATAAAATCATTTTGCATCCTCTGTATGTATGTATGTAGAATGCATACTGCTAGAATGTTTTTCTATTGGTATTTAAAACCAAACAAGAGTAGAATACATCAGTTAGAGCCATTATGATGCAGTGATCACTTTAGGTTAAAGGGAACAATAACTAACTTCAATATGAAATATAATATTTAAAATGTGACAGGTCGGGGCGCCTGGGTGGCTCAGTGTGTTAAAGCCTCTGCCTTCAGCTCGGGTCATAATCCCGGGGTCCTGGGATTGAGCCCTGTGTTGGGCTTCCTTGTTCAGGTGGGAAGCCTGCTTCTCCCTCTGCCTCTACCTGCTGCTCCCCCTGCTTGTGCTCTCTTTCTGGTCTGTCAAATGAATAAATTAAAAAAAAAATCTTTGGGGTGCCTGGGCAGCTCATTCGTTAAGCATCTGCCTTCAGCTCAGCTCATGATCTCAGGGTCCTGGGATCGAGCCACGCATCGGGCTCTCTGCTCATCAGGGAGTCTGCTTCCTCCTCTCTCTCTGCCTGCCTCTCTGCCTACTTGTGATCTCTGTCAAATAAATAAATAAAATCTTTAAAAAAAAATGTGACAGGTCTAAGGAAGACTTTAGGAAAACTATTTCTCTGAAAAGGACAGTCCCTTGATTTTGAAGTCATAACAAGTATATATATATATATATAATTTCCATACCATCTGTTGTTATTAATATTGATGAGTTTGCCTGGTTGAATGACCTTGCCATTTATGTAGCAGTCACACTGAGATTTTGGAACACAATTCCCTTCATTATTCTGGTACATTCCATCAGGGCAAGTGCATCCATCAAATGGAACATCTTCTATATCACAGCTCCTATATCTCTCTGACAATAATCGACAAGTTTTATTGCAGGCTTTTATATTGTACTTGAAAATGAGGTCACTTGGACAAGAGGAATCTGTTGGCATAGGAATAAAAAATAGTAAATATGTATATACAGGAAAAGTAGCAATTTTACTTCAACTTGATATTTATAGATATTATAGTGAATTATTCACAATTGTGGTTATGAATAATCAAGAAAAAGTTACATTCTATTCTCATTTTTCACTTCTTTTCTTTTTTCTTTTTTTTTTTTTTAGAAAAAGCGATTGAAGGAGGCAATTGCAATCACCCAGGAGAAAAAAAAAGAATGTTTTTTTTGAACTAGGATGGCACCCATAGAGATGAAGAGATGTGAATGGATTTGAGAGAAATTTAGCGGATGAACTTAACAGACTTTATTGATTGGATATGGGCAATGAGATAGTAAGTATGATCTACAAGAGATTTATTTCTATAATTTTTTTTTTGATAAGCCAAGTATTTTTCTGGTCATTTTCAAATACAGCAATAAATATTTAAAACAAAGCAAGATTAAATAAATATGATAGTTGAGCCCCTATTTTACTTACTTTTATTTGTTTTGTTTTGTTTTTTTTAATGTTATTAATACTGGGGCACCTGGGTGACTCAGTCAGTTAAGCATCTGCCTTTTGGTTTCAGCTCAGGTTATGATCTCTAGGCAGGAAGATCAAGTCCTGCTTCAGGTTCTGTGCTCAGCAGGGAGTCTACTTCCCCTTTCCCTCTCCCTCTATCCTTCCACAGCACCCCCTAGACACACACACACACTCTTTCTCTCTCTCTCTCTGAAATAAATAAATCTTTAAAATAAATAAGTAAAATAAAATGTTATTAATATTTAGCTATCATTTTAAAAGGTAGTAGGAGTGGGAAAATTAAATTTCAGGATATAAAACTGAACAGAAACCTATGTCCATACCTAAATACACATATATTCTGCTCTTATTTAAATATGAATATATTAGAGGGAGAGGAGTCAAGATGGCAGAGAAGTAGCAGGCTGAGACTACTTCAGGTAGCAGCAGATCAGCTAGATAGCTTATCTAAAGATTGCAAACACCTACAAATCCAACGGGAGATCGAAGAGAAGAAGAACAGCAATTCTAGAAACAGAAAATCAACCACTTTCTGAAAGGTAGGACTGGCAGAGAAGTGAATCCAAAGCGACGGGAAGATAGACTGTGGGGGGAGGGGCCGGCTCCCAGCAAGTGGCAGAGCAACAGAGCATAAAATCAGGACTTTTAAAAGTCTGTTCCGCTGAGGGACATCGTTCCAAAGGCTAAACTGGGGTGAAGCCCATGCGGGGTCAGCGTGGCCTCGGGTCCCGCAGGGTCACAGAAGGATCAGGGGTGTCTGAGTGTCACAGAGCTTGCAGGTATTAGAACGGGGATGCCGGCTACAGAGACAGAGCTGAGGAGTGACCTCTCAGCTCGGGGTTACCTTGAACCGGTCCCAGCCTGGGTGAGCTCAGAGCACGGCCGGAGGCCAGGGAGATGGGAGTAATTGGATGCTATTCTCTGAGGGCGCACTGAGGAGTGGGGCCCCGAGCTCTCGGCAACTCTGGGCCAGAGACTGGGAGGCTGCCATTTTCATTCCCGTCCTCTGGAACTCTACGGAAAGTGCTCAGGGAACCGAAGCTCCCAAAAGCAAACCAAAGCGGATTACTCAGTCCGGCCCCTGGTAAGGGTGGTGCAATTCCGCCTGGAGCACAGACGCTTGAGAATCACTACAACAGCCCCCTCGCCCAGAAGATCAACAAGAAATCCAGCCAGGACCAAGTTCACCTACCAAGGAGTGCAGTTTCAATACCAAGGAGAGCAGCAGAATTCCAGAGGAGGAGAAAGCAAAGCATGGAACTCATGGCTTTCTCCCCATGATTCTTTTAGTCTCGCAGTTAACTTAATTTTTTTTCTTTTTCAATTTTTTTTCTTCTTCTGCTAATTTTTTTTAACTTTTACCCTTTTCTTTTTTAATGTTTTTTAACTAGTTTATCTAATATATATATATTTTTTCCTTTTTATATTTTTTCTTTATTCATTTTCTTTTTTTAATTGTTTCTTTTTTTCTTTCTGAACCTCTTTTTATCCCCTTTCTCCCCCCCAAGATTTGGGATCTCTTCTGATTTGGTTAAAGCATATTTTCCTGGGGTCTTTGCCACCCTTTTAGTATTTTACTTGCTCCTTCATATACTCTTATCTGGACAAAATGACAAGACGGAAAATTTCACAAAAAAAAAAAAAAAAAGAACAAGAGGCAGTACCGAAGGCTAGGGACCTAATCAATACGGGCATTGGTAATATGTCAGATCTAGAGTTCAGAAGGATGATTCTCAAGGTTCTAGCTGGGCTCGAAAGAGGCATGGAAGATATTAGAGTAACTCTCTCAGGAGATATAAAAGCCCTTTCTGGAGAAATAAAAGAACTAAAAACTAAACAAGTTGAAATAAAAAAACTTATTAATGAGGTGCAATAAAAAATGGAGGCTCTCACTGCTAGGATAAATGAGGCAGAAGAAAGAATTAGCAATATAGAAGACCAAATGACAGAGAATAAAGAAGCTGAGCAAAAGAGGGACAAACAGCTACTGGACCATAAGGGGAGAATTCGAGAGATAAGTGACACCATAAGACAAAACAACATTAGAATAATTGGGATTCCAGAAGAAGAAGAAAGAAAGAGGGGAGCAGAAAGTATATTGGAGAGAATTATTGGAGAGATTTCCCTAATATGGCAAAGGGAACAAACATCAAAATCCAGAAAGTGCAGAGAACCCCCCTCAAAATCAATAAGAATAGGGCCATACCCTGTCACCTAATAGTAAAATTTACAATTCTTAGTGACAAAGAGAAAATCCTGAAAGCAGCCCGGGAAAAGAAGTCTGTAACATACAATGGTAAAAATATTAGATTGGCAGCAGACTTATCCACAGAGACCTGGCAGGCCAGAAAGAGCTGGCATGATATATTCAGAGCACTAAACAAGAAAAACATGCAGCCAAGAATACTATATCCAGCTAGGCTATCATTGAAAATAGAAGGAGAGATTAAAAGACCCAAAGACACCTCCAGATTTAAAGTGAGGGGGTGGAAAACAATTTACCATGCTAATGGACATCAGAAGAAAGCAGGAGTGGCAATCCTTATATCAGATCAATTAGATTCAAAGCCAAAGACTATAGTAAGACATGAGGAAGGACACTATATCATACTCAAAGGATCTGTCCAACAAGAAGATCTAACAATTTTAAATATCTATGCCCCTAACATGGGAGCAGCCAACTATATAAACCAATTAATAACAAAATCAAAGAAACACATCAACAATAATACAATAATACAATAATAGTAGGGGACCTCACTGAAATGGACAGATCATCCAAGCAAAAGATCAACCAGGAAATAAAGGCCTTAAATGACACACTGGACCAGATGGACATCACAGATATATTCAGAACATTCCATCCCAAAGCAACAGAATACACATTCTTCTCTAGTGCCCATGGAACATTCTCCAGAATAGATCACATCCTGGGTCCTAAATCAGGTCTCAACCGGTATCAAAAGATTGGGATCATCCCCTGCATATTTTCAGCCCACAATGCTCTGAAGCTAGAACTCAATCACAAGAGGAAATTTGGAAAGAACCCAAATACATGGAGACTAAACAGCATCCTTCTAAAGAATGAATGGGTCAACCAGGAAATTAAAGAAGAATTAAAAAAATTCATGGAAACAAATGATAATGAAAACACAATGGTTCAAAATCTGTGGAACACAGCAAAGGCAGTCCTGAGAGGAAAATATATAGCGGTACAAGCCTTTCTCAAGAAACAAGAAAGGTCTCAAGTACACAACCTAACCCTACACCTAAAGGAGCTGGAGAAAGAAAAAGAAAGAAACCCTAAACCCAGCAGGAGAAGAAAAATCATAAAGATCAGAGCAGAAATCAATGAAATAGAAACCAAAAAAACAATAGAACAAATCAACGAAACTAGGAGCTGGTTCTTTGAAAGAATTCCTAAGATTGATAAACCCCTGGCCAGACTTATCAAAAAGAAAAGAGAAAGGACCCAAATAAATAAAATCATGAATGAAAGAGGAGAGATCACAACCAACACCAAAGAAATACAGACAATTATAAGAACATACTATGAGCAACTCTACGCCAACAAATTTGACAATCTGGAAGAAATGGATGCATTCCTAGAGACATATAAACTACCACAACTGAACCAGGAAGAAAGAGAAAGCCTGAACAGACCCATAACCAGTAAGGAGATTGAAACAGACATCAAAAATCTCCAAACAAACAGAAGCCCGGGGCCAGACGGCTTCCTGGGGGAATTCTACCAAACATTTAAAGAACAATTAATTCCTATTCTCTGAAACTGTTCCAGAAAATAGAAATGGAAGGAAAACTTCCAAACTCATTTTATGGGGCCAGCATCCCCTTGATCCCAAAACCAGACAAGGATCCCATCAAAAAAGAGAACTACACACCAATATCCTTGATGAACACAGATGCAAAAATTCTCACCAAAATACTAGCCAATAGGATTCAACAGTACATTAAAAGGATTATTCACCATGACCAAGTGGGATTTATTCCAGGGCTGCAAGGTTGATTCAACATCCGCAAATCAATCAATGTGATACAACACATTAATAAAAGAAAGAACAAGAACCATATGATACTCTCAATAGATGCTGAAAAAGCATTTGACAAAGTATAGCATCCCTTCCTGATCAAAACTCTTCAAAGTGCAGGGATAGAGGGCACATACCTCAATATTATCAAAGCCATCTATGAAAAACTCACTGCAAATATCATTCTCAATGAAGAAAAACTGAAAGCTTTTCCACTAAGGTCAGGAATACAGCAGGGATGTCCATTATCACCACTGCTATTCAACATAGTACTAAAAGTCCTAGCCTCAGCAATCAGACAACAAAAGGAAATTAAAGGCATCCAAATCGGCAAAGAAGAAGTCAAACTATCACTCTTCGCAGATGATATGATACTATATGTGGAAAACCTAAAAGACTCCACTCCAAAACTGCTAGAACTTTACAGGAATTCAGCAAAGTGTCAGGATATAAAATCAATGCACAGAAATCAGTTGCATTTCTCTACACCAACAACAAGACAGAAGAAAGAGAAATTAAGGAGTCAATCCCATTTACAATTGCGCCCAAAACTATAAGATACCTAGGAATAAACCTAACCAAAGAGGCTAAGAATCTATACTCAGAAAGCTATAAAGTACTCATGAAGGAAATTGAGGAAGACACAAAGAAATGGAAAAATGTTCCATGCTCCTGGACTGGAAGAATAAATATTGTGAAAATGTCTATGCTACCTAAAGCAATCTACATATTTAATGCAATTCCTATCAAAATCCCATCCATTTTTTTCAAAGAAATGGAACAAATAATCCTAAAATTTATATGGAACCAGAAAAGACCTCAAATAGCCAAAGGAATATTGAAAAAGAAAGCCAAAGTTGGTGGCATCACAATTCTGGACTTCAAGCTCTAATACAAGGCTGTCATCATCAAAACAGCATGGTACTGGCACAAAAACAGACACATAGATCAATGGAACAGAATAGAGAGCCCAGAAATAGACCCTCAACTCTATGGTCAACTAATCTTCAACAAAGCAGGAAAAGAATGTCCAATGGAAAAAAGACAGCTTCTTCAATAAATGGTGTTGGGAAAATTGGACAGCCACATGCAGAACAATGAAATTGGACCATTTCCTAATACCACACACGAAAATAGACTCAAAATGGATGAAGGACCTCAATGTGAGAAAGGAATCCATCAAAATCCTTGAGGAGAACACAGGCAGCAACCTCTTCGACCTCAGCCGTAGCAACGTCTTCCTAGGAACATCGCCAAAGGCAAGGGAAGCAAGGGCAAAAATGAACTATTGGGATTTTATCAAGATCAAAAGCTTTTGCACAGCCAAGGAAACAGTTAACAAAACCAAAAGACAACTGACAGAATGGGAGAAGATATTTGCAAACGACATATCAGATAAAGGGCTAGTGTCCAAAATCCATAAAGAACTTAGCAAACTCAACACCCAAAGAACAAATAATCCAATCAAGAAATGGGCAGAAGACATGAACAGACATTTCTGCAAATAAGACATCCAGATGGTCAACAGACACATGAAAAAGTGCTCCACATCTCTCAGCATCAGGGAAATAGAAATCAAAACCACAATGAGATATCGCCTCACACGAGTCAGAATGGCTAAAATTAACAGGTCAGGAAATGACAGATGCTGGCGAGGATGTGGAGAAAGGGAAACCCTCCTACACTGTTGGTGGGAATGCAAGCTGGTGCAACCACTCTGGAAAACAGCATGGAGGTTCCTCAAAATGTTGAAAATAAAACTACCCTATGACCCAGCAATTGCACTACTGGGTATTTACCCTAAAGATACAAAGGTAGTGATCCGAAGGGGCACGTGCACCCAAATGTTTATAGCAGCAATGTCTACAATAGCCAAACTATGGAAAGAACCTAGATGTCCATCCACAGATGACTGGATAAAGAAGATGTGGTATATATACACAATGGAATACTATGCAGCCATCAAAAGAAATGAACTCTTGCCATTTGCGACGACGTGGATGGAACTAGAGGGTATCATGCTTAGCGAAATAAGTCAATTGGAGAAAGACAACTATCATATGATCTCCCTGATATGAGGAAGTGGAGATGCAACATGGGGGGGGTTAAGGGGGTAGGAGAAGAATAAATGAAACAAGATGGGATTGGGAGGGAGACAAACCATAAGTGACTCTTAATCTCACAAAACAAACTGAGGGTTGCTGGGGGGAGGGGGTTTAGAAGAAGGGGGGAAGGGTTATGGACATTGGGGTTGGGTATGTGCTATGGAAGTGTGTGAAGTGCTGTGAAGTGTGTAAACCTGGCGATTCACAGACCTGTACCCCTGGGGCTAAAAATATATGTTTATAAAAAATAAATAAATAAATAAAATTAAAAAAAAATAAAATAAATATGAATATTTTAGATCAAGATAAAAGAATCAAGAAGTAAAAAATACAAGGATCGCACAAACATACTTTCTAAAATAACAAAAATCATCTTTGAAAGAACCTAGTACAAATTTGTAAATACGGGTTTCTAAACTACACACACACACACACACACACACACACGCATGCACTATAGTAACAGTAAGAAGAGAGTTATCTAAACACCCCTGTCCTGCTTACCACACAGTCCGGTTCTCCATCCCACCATGTATACTTCTTTCTCAGCACATGCTTTCACATAGTTGCCAAAAACCGTACACAGGCAGTCTTCACTGTTTTCACAAGCACAACTGTACCTTTTGCATTCCTTTAAGAAATAAGTGTATTTTACATTACAAAAAATATTCCCATGAACAGGTAAACTGGGTATCTTCATTCAGCTCATAACAACTTCTGTTCCTTGAAAAAGGATCTGTCTTAAAACTTTGGAAACTATTTCTTTTCAAAATAAGCATAGTATAAAATCAATTATTAACTGAGTTTTCAAAGAACTTAGAAAAGATGGAAAGAGAAACTTATTCAAGATTTTTCTCATTTGGGGTTATTTTCCAGTACCATTTTTTTAATTGGTATATCTAACAACTAAATAAATTAGTGGAATCCCATGTTAAATTTAAACCTATGTCTTAATCTACTGATAATGCCTGTTATTTGAAAATTTTTAATGCTTACAGACTTCTATTGATACTATCAAAATATTTCGCAAAAAGCACTGTTAATTTTAGACATTCACATACCTCATAATATGGTTTAGCCTTCACAACTGGATGGCAGGAAGCAAAAGGCCCGTCTGAATCAAGAAAAATTCCACAGTGCTCTTCAGCAAATTTTTCTGGAAGAAAATTCATGCACTCAAAATTAGTACAAAAAATGTCAAAATTTTTAATTGAATAAGTATAATTATGTTTTTAAAGTGCTGCTGTAGCATATCTAATTTACGATCAATACATATAAAAATAGCATGATAAAAGAAACACCTTAAACAGACAAAATCTTTTTTTTAACAGATTTTATTTATTTGACAGAGAGAGAGAGAGAGACAGTGAGAGAGGGAACACAAGCAGTGGGAGAGGGAGAGAGAGAGTAACAGGCCTCCCACTGAGCAGGGAGCCCAATGAGGGGGCTTGATCCCAGAACCCTGGGATCAACACCTGAGCCTAAGGCAGATGCTTAACAGCGGAGCCACCCAGGCGCCCCCAAAATCTTTCCTTTTAAATTTTTATTATTTTTAAACAATTTTATTTATTTATTTATTTATTTATTTATTTGAGAGAGACAGAGAGCCAAATGGATGGAGGGAGAGAGATCAGCAGACTCTGCACTGGTGGGCTCAATCTCATGACCCTGAGATCATGACCTGAGCTGAAATCAAGAGTCTGATGCTTAACCAACTGCACCACCCAGGCACCCCAATCTTTCTTTCTTTTTTCAATTGAAGTATAGTGGACACACAATTTACATTAATTTCAGGTGTACAACACAGGGATTGGACAACTCTATACATTCTGTTGTGCTCCCCACAAGTAAAACTACCATCTGTCCCCATACTGTGCTCTTCTAATACATTGACTATGTTCCTCATGCTGTTCCTTTCATCCTCATGACTTACTGGTCCCATAACTGGAATAAGAGGCAAAATCTTTATTAGCTGCAGACTTCTGTATCAAGTCTGTTAACCCATTTGCGAAAGGCAATTTCTACAAAAAATGGGACTAAGGGAACCAGATTATTTATATAGGTACCTTTTAATTTAAAATATATTTTTAAGTCTGAATTGTAGCAGGTTGATGAATGAAACCATGGTGACACCAGCACCACCTTGCCTCTGTTGCTGCAGTAGTCATGTCAGTTTTAGGGCCACCCATATCAATCATTCAAAAACACTAACTTTGTTTTTTAAGGACTGAACTTATATTTAGTTAGTTTGCAAGTAACAAGTTTTTTTAAATTAATTTTTTAAATTAACAGAAAAGAAAATTCACAAAAATAACATGAGTAAAAAATTCTTTGCTCAGTGAATTGTAAATACTTAAAGATGATGCCAGTGACTAGAACAAGGACTGCTAATTTGTTTTAACTATCTATTGATTGGCTTCTAAAGTAACTGTCAACAGGAAGCAAAAGGAAACTGACTAAATCTATTAAAAGGACTTTGAGGCCAATTATTTCTAAAATTTTGACAAACTTGTAACTAGGTATCACCATTTTTTATGTAAACACTAGACAGCTTTTTAAGGCATAGCTTAGTTTTCTGTATTTTATTTTATTAAATACAAAACATTGAAAATTAAAACTGTTAATTTATATAGCTCTCAAAAGTGTTGATATAGTCTCCTTAACATAAATTGGATTGATTTCTTTTGAGATATACATGTGTTTTCACCTATTCTCATTTTAATTATTTTCATTGCAACACCTGCAAAACAAAATAACATGACAACTCAACCCTGAAATATGTATTACCGTGTTGATACTAATGCTTCTGTCAACTCATTCTATAAATCAAAACAAGTTAAATAAAACTTTAGAAAGGAATTGCTTTGTAATTTTTAAATGTTAAAAGTCGATCAGACTTTTTTCAAATATGCTGATTAATTTAGAAAAAAGTAATTAGGGATGCTTGGGTGGCACAGTGCACTAAGCATCTGATTCTTGGTTTTGACTCTTGGTTTTAGCTCAGGTTGTGATCTCAGGGTCATGAGATCAAGCCCCATGTCAATGTGCAGTCTGGTTGGATTTCTCTACCCTCCCTCTCCTCTCTCTCTCTCTCTCAAACAAACAAATAAATCTTTACCAAAAAAAAAATATATATAACTAATTAACATATAAACATATTTTAACTTACTTTCCATTACATTCCATTGTTTACGAAAGAAGTAAGATAAGATAAAGTTTTTATTAAAATCAACAATACTAAGGAAGCAATCAGAACAAGACTTGGATTCAAAATACTTAGATTATCAGCAACAGACCCATAAATACAGAGAACAAACTGGTGGTTGCCAGAGGTGAAAGGGATGGGGCATGATGGGCAAAATGGGTGCTGAGGAGTGGCAGATACAGGCTTCAAGTTATGGTATGAATAAATCACAATGATAAAAGGTCTAGCATAGGCAATATAATCCCCGTACTGGAAAAGCATTTATGGTGACAGATGGTAGCTACCCTTGTAGTGAGCATGACTTAGTGTATAGACTTGCGGAATCACTATGTTGAACATGTTACATGTCAACGATACGTCCATAAAAATATATTAAATAAATAAATAAATAAATACTTGCATTACAATTTCATCTTTAACCCTTACTAAGCACACTCCATCAGGACTCCACTATCAACAATTACATTAATGGAGATGCTAACCTCATCCATGCTCTTTATGCGTGTTTGTGGGAATAAACTGAATTAATATTTGTGGAAGTCTTTGGTAAGCTAAAACATGAGCTGATTCATACAAATGTAAAGGTTTCCTCGTAAGATCCATACTTGGGGTTTGGTATAATTAACACACATGATAGCAGAGTTAGGAGACCTAGATCGAGTGACAGCTTTCTTGTTAAGTAGCTTGGCAGTTTGGCTGAGTCTCGTGATTTCAACCAATCATCACTTCCATGCCTCCATTAAAGATCTGTAAAACTTCCTCTGACCCTACTATTCGACAACTGAGAAAACTGAGGAGGAAAAGAATGGGTATAGAAAAAGACAACTGATTCCCCTTCCCCAGTGAAAGATGGGTTTTCTAGTTGCACCTCAGCCAGCCAGACTGCTTCTCTGCTGTTCCTGGCAAAACAGGGAGAGTACAACAAACACTAGCAAAAACCAGGATTATCTGACAGTCCCATATTATATCAGAGAAAGTACACAATTCCTAGCAATTCCTAGCACCAAGTATTTAATTACAGAGTTTGATGTTCAATCACCGATACCTTTTTCTATACTGATGCAGGAAGTGGGTTTTCCTTTAGGACAGGGCATCATTTCCCAAGAATCAGCAAATGCCTGAGGTGTCTTCTCCAATATATTCTGACTTGACATTAAATCATCCTCTACTCTGTTGTTGAAGGAACCACAGAGTCCTGTATAGGGCACAGAACAAATTTTAACATTTCCTCACCTACTCAGCTTTTAGATTCATATTCTCACATCATATTCAGTTCTGCACTCAAATCAAAACACGCAGAAGCTACCAGAGAGTGTATCTTTGTGAGTCTTATGCATATAAGTAAAATTTCATGACACTGATTAATGCTCCATTTTATTCAAATTCCAGGAGCACTGAGACACCATTTGCCACAAATATGGTGTTTTTCCTGTGTGTTGCTGTAACATAACCTCCTTTAACAAGGTGGTGGGAAGCATGCTTACAAGCAGGGCATTCATGACTGCACATTGGTCAATATTAGTGTGGAGACTTGAATCATGCTAAGGGCTACATGCTTTCTTATCTAGAGTCTTCTGACCCATGAATTACATTTTTACCTATGTATAAGTTCATCTTCTCAAGTAAAGACATGTTGCAAAAGCTCAGGCGGTTTGAAATTAGTTAAATATGAGCTTTCCCATTGTTTTGCTTGTTATGTTTGCCATCCATGACAGTATGTAAAAGCTGATTTCTGTGACAGAAAACCTCCATGAAAGAGATGACCATGTCATCTATCAGCAGAAAGACAAATTGTAATGTAGCATGCATTTGAAACTTGATATTCAAAAGATGTATATGTATAATATTTTCATGTTTTTCTTCTATAGGTAAAAGCTTTCATAATCTATCTTAGCAAAGTTATGTATAACAGATATTGTCAAACCTCACTTTAGGAAACCTTAATTTAAGAACCTTAAAATGTTTAAATTTGCAGAAAATCACTTGGGAACAGATTTTGTAATAAATAAAGCTGTCTTTACTATCAGTTGAAACTGTTTTACTGAAATAGTGAAGGGAAGACTAAGTAAAAATTCATTATGCTCTAATGTCATTAATGGAGAGACAATTCCAAATCAAAAGAAATAATGGTCACAGTAGAGCCTTGGAAATAAAAACGTATCCAGAGGACTTACCTACAGTATCTGTGAAACTGTTAGGTGGCACTGAAACATACAACTGCATCGCAGGAGAAATTTGTATTTGCATTTTTACACCAAAGTTTGTTTCTACTTGAAGGTATGAGGAAGATGCTTTGAAGACATATACTTCACCTATTAAAATAATTATTTACATTAATAGTAATAATTGAAACACTGAACAGTTTCTGACTTATTAAAATGGTTTTATGCTTTAATATATGTTAAAAACCAAACATTTAATGTCCCTAAAAACTGAACAAATGAATGCATCTTACACTTATTTTAAAATGGTATTATTAAACTTACCTGAATCATCATAACTTTGATTTGTATATTCAATCCCATTGTTTGTGATTGTTCCATTCCTACTGAATACATACTTGTTACCTGAAATAGGCTAATATTTAAAACAATTGTTAGTTCATGTTAATTTGTAATTTTAATTCATTTTAATGCAATATATGAACCTAAATTTTTGTGCCATAAAAATGTTTATTTGATTGGACTAGTTTTAAATATCTAAAATACAGAATATTTTTTGAAGCACTCCTCATATGTTGTTTCTTATACCAATTCTTTGAGGAGGACTCTAAAGGAATCTTCATCCCCAATCGGTAGATGAAGAAACTGAGACCCAGGAAGGTGACTCACATTTCCAAAGGTCAAAAGGCTTCTAAGTGCCAAAGGCCAGTCTTGGTGTCCTCCCTCCCCCTGTAGTTCTATTTCCATTTACATTGTCCATTCCAAATATGTGAAATTCTAAACAAATGTAATTGCCTTCTTAAACTCTTCTTAAACAGAGTTTAATAATTTAATAAGCACATAGGTTTATCTATAATTAGCACATCAGTTGTGTGTATATGATAATTTTTATACACTTAAGGAGCCTTAGAACTACTCAGCTCTTCCAGAGACTTTACTAATTTTCTGTACGATGTTTTTGTGATTTCTTTTTTTTTTAATTAATTATTTTTATTAACATATAATGTATTATTTGCCCCAGGGGTACAGTTCTGTGAATCATCAGGCTTACACATACCTCACAGCACTCACCATAGCGCATACCCTCTCCAATGTCCATCACCCAGCCACCCTCTCCATACTCTTTCTGTGATTTCAATTCACACAGTAAAGCCTCTCTTCAGCCACAAAATTTCTGAATTTGTGAAGTAATTATTCAATTTTGTTCTGGATAAAGTTTAGGAAGCTGACTACTTACCGAATTTAAGAGGAGTGTAACACTATTTAAGCACGTTCCTGACTGGCCACTTGGACAAGGACGAAGTTCAACACTAACAGACCAGTCTTTATGCTGTTAAAAAATGCAATTCATTGATACATTTATCAAAATGTCCTTGATGGTACACTATTACTGTGTGATTCATTTACAAGTCACTTTTTTTTTAAACACGCACAATTCCTACATATAATCAGTCTGCTCTGAAAATAAAACTTGGTTCACTCTATGATAAGTCTAGAATCGTCTAAAAGCTTTACGGAGGAAGGTCCAAGTATCTTGCATAAACTATATTAATACATTGTGATTAGTGTATTTTCATTGTCATCATTTTTTTTTCTTTTATCTTTACTTTTTGTCTTCTCCTCCAAGGGAATGTGCTAGCTGAAGACAAAGCGACAAGATGGAATCCCCCTTTATTGAAATACAGGTTCCTTAAAGTTTTAGTCCTGAAAAGAATTTAAAAGTAAGGATAGCCTCTATCATACTGGTGATATTGTATTATAAAAACTATAAACAGGGGCACCAGAGTGGCTCAGTGGGTTAGGCCTCTGTCTTCAGCTCAGGTCATGATCCCGGGGTCCTGGGATCGAGCCCTGTATCGGGCTCTCTGCTCAGCAGGGAGCCTGCTTCCCTTCCTCTCTCTGTGCCTGCCTCTCTGCCTACTTGGTGATCGCTGTCCGTCAAATAAATAAATAAAATCTTAAAAAAAAACTATAAATAAATGTAAAGGGATAATGATGAAAAAGGAAGGTGTTTCATGGAACAAAAAAGATCATCTCAACTGAAGCATTAGTGAACACAAGCAAAGAAAAGTAGAAAAAGGAAATATTTTTCCAGTATATTTATAAAGTTACTAATGATGAAGGAAATGTTGGGGTTTTTTTGTTTGTTTCACAAGGAACTTCTAAGGAGTAGAGGGAATAGCAATTGTCAATGTCAGTATGTGACAGAAAACAGACATTGAAATATGTAACCAATCACTGAGGGGCTGCTTGCTATTTAAACAGTAACTTAAAGTGAAGACTGTTTTAAATCAGTTGAATAGCTCAGTGTGTGTACATCAATTTTCTCAAGCATTCCAGGCTATTACATACGTGGATGGCCAAGAAGTGACAGTTTCCAGGATGGTAGTATTTAATACCGTCAAAGGTGGTGACTGAATTTCCTTCCACCTTACATCTTCCAGGACATAATGCTTCCGTACAAGACCACTTAGCATTCTGGCACGTGCTGTTAAAATGCAATAGTTATGTTAAGGTCATCAATTGTGTTTTCCCATGAGGAAAATAAATATCCCAATGTTAAAAATCAAAATTTAAGTTAAGATATTTACTTAAGGTTTATTAGACCATCTTTTAAAAGAAATTTTTTAAAGTAATCTTTACACCCAAAATGGGGCTCAAACTCACAGCCCCAAGATCAAGAGTCGCATGCCTATTGACTGAGCCAGCCAGAAGCCTCTATTAGACCAGCCTCATTCTCCAATCAACATCTCAACTCTGATCAAGTGCGTCATTGATGGTGGCATTCTGGCATTTTAAAGGACTTGAATTCCATGGACTAAAATAATAGCTTCTGCCTGCATTAAATACATAAAAACTTCTAAACTGGATTTCAGAGATTTGTTTAAATGGAATACATTCCACTATTAGTACTAAAACAACTGCTACATGCCACATTGTAGACCCTCACTGTTCAATACAGTATAGAGACATATAGCTATTGATTACTTGAAATGTGACGGTTCTAGATTGAGCTCTGCTATAAATATAAAATATAGACTTTTAAGACTTAATTTGAGAAACAGATTGTAAAAATCTCTCATTAATTTGAGAAACAGATTATAAAATCTCTCATTAACTTTTTATACTAATTTCATTTCTAGATGCTAATACTGCACTTTGGATGTATAAAATACATAATTATAATTAAATTTACCCCTACCTTTTTGCTTTTTAAAAACACATAAACTAAAAAATGTTAAATTATACATGTGGGTCATATTTGTAGCTAATATGATATTTCTCTAGGATTGCATTGTCCTAGATATTCAATAAATCATAGCTATTGTTATTCATAATTATTACTAATATATTATTGCCACACTAACAGGAACATTTCTCATTTATAAGGAACATACTATAGTATAAATAATAGATTAGTTTTCATTGAATCAAATTATTTCCCTACAAAGACACAGTACATTTTTAGAAAAGTCCTTTGGAGTTCTGCAGAAATTTAGAGTTTCAGAGAAAAGTCATAATGAAGAATGGGGTATGCTCTCTGATCAGCATATTGTTCCTGAATTCAAATAATATACACTAATTTTTGGCACACTGAAATACACTTATTAAATATATCTATAAACATCATATATATAAACATGAATATATATATGCACAAATATATACAAAGATATAAATAAAGATCAAATATATTTTCACCAGTATAGTCACATACAAAAATTATCTGAAAACTAGTGGGCTGTTTCTGATTATACATTTTACTAAATATTTTTGGTAATTAGCATAATTATTGTTTCATTGTTGTAACCATACTCTTGTATTATTCTTTGCTCTATATTTGCAAAAGCCAATTGGTTTACTCTTTGAAACACTATTTTAGTTAGTGAAAAACATTACTTTTTAAAGATACAATGAAAGCTCACACATTTTTTAATCTTATTTTTCCATTTTATTTTATTTTTTTCAGTGTTCCAAGATTCATTATTATATTTTATTTAAAAACCACACTAAACTTTCCCTTAAAAATGAAAGACAAACTATCAACACGGAAAATGCAGTATTTATTTCCAAAAAGTTTATTTTAAGGGTGGACCTAGAATTATTTCAAATTAGATTAAAATATTAGTTTTATTTCACTATTAACAAAATGTGGACAAAAAGCATGTACATACCACTGAGAACCACAAGGACCTCTTCGGACTTCCCCTGACTTATAGATCTTTCCATGTAAGCTACAGGGACATTCAGTCTTTAATACACATCCCCCTTTTTCTCCAATATCATCCAATAGATAACCTAGGAAAAATACATTGTACAAGAATTATATAAACATCAGCAAATTCTCAAGCAGTGAACTGTGAAATCACTCTCGAGCTAGTTCTTTCAAGTGTAAACATGCACTTAAAATGGTAAGTTCCATTTAGCAATTAACCTTAGTTTGAAATCTGGCAAGAGTAAAATTTTTGGAGCCATGGAACATTCCTAAGGAGCCCAATACAGGACTAGGGGATCATTTGTGGAGTACCATGGCCCTAAAGAAATAGACATACAGGTTAACTTTGTAAGTCTCTCTACTTCTCTTCTGCAGTTTGCTAGAGGGATGGATTATGAATAGGTGATTTCATTAAATATCTGGTTAGAAATAAGACCCACCATTCTTGAGTCACTTTTTCAGTTGTTTTAGTGTAAACATTTTTACAGGGTGTGGTTACCTTCTGGGCAGAAGCAGCCATTCACACATTCACTATCTTGAAAAGGAGCCACATTAGAACAAGTTGCAGGATTTGAGGGACCGCATTCTTTGTAGATATGTTTTTCTGGGCATCTAGGTTTTCCTGGAGAAATACAGAAATATGTATACATAGGAATGAGAGGGAATTTAATGTGATAAATACATAATATTCTAATAGGGATCTTTCAAATGGGATTCTTTGAGTCTAATTTTCTAGACATGAGTCAGTCTTTAAAATTATTCAGTACAATTAAATTGTGCCAATTTCTCATGCATTATTTTGTGCTACAATATTTAATATGTAGAAAAAATAAAAAATGAAGATGGAAATTAGGAATAAAGGTATATTATATATGTAATAACATCTCATCTTACTTTGAAATTGATCTACTTGTTTTTTAACTTAAAAGGATTGAGCTAAGCATGAGTTGAAAGTACTTTTATATTTGTGTGAAATTCACATCTATGTTTTACTAATTTTTTGAAAGAAAATCACAGTACTAATCAACATACTTTTGATAACTTCTCCAGTTACTTTTTTTCAGTTTTTGCAGAATTTCTCATTTTTCCCAGTAACTTTTACAAATTATACACTAGAAAGTTCCTAATTGAGATCTTATCACAAAGGACTGTCATTTATGGCAAGTCACTTCACCAAAACAGTCCTGTTTCCTTGTAAGTACCTGGGAGAGATGAGACTCCATCATATCTAAGATCCCTTTTAGGGCTTACAATCATTTAAGAACATTACTTTGAAATATAGCTCAACTTTAAAGTGCTATAGAAACTTTCTGGCTTGGAATCTGCAATAAAATTTAAAACCTACCACAAGTCACATCAGAATCATCTCGCCAGGATTCATAGATACCAGGACCATCTGAGGCACAGAGGCGGGACAACTCTGAATAAGTGTCACATGTAGAATTTTTGCCTGGATTTTGGCAATAGTCATTAACGCAAATCATTCTGTAGTCATTGGAAAAAGCGGCGACCTTTCTACATTTCTCAAAGTAAGTTCCAATAATTTTGTCACAGTACTACAAAATAAAGTGTGAAGTTTTATTAAAACATAAGAAAAAATGGCAATCAATAAACATTTAGGAAGAGATAAAATTCAGAAGTATTTGGTTTTGCATGATAATCTGTAGCTTGGCAGGGAGAGTTGCTGAATGCTGTTCGAAATGGAGAGTTTTGAAATATAGTTAGCACAGTGACTCCTAAAAGAATCCTTCACCTCTGGCATTTTGGATTGCTATATAACAACTTCAGAAGTGGTTGTACCTATACTCATCCAAAATTTCTCCAAAGGTGACATGAAATTTACAACTTGAGAAAATAAAAGGGGTGAGAAAAAAGAGCTATTGTCAATGCCAGAGAATGGGATGGTAAATGACTGATACCATAAAAGACAGAAGGGAAACTGGTGCTTTGTCTATTAGTCTTATTATATTTGGTGAGCAAACAGGCGGTGAAATAGAGTCACTGTGGGCTTTCTTGGTGGGGGCCATGGGAGTTAGCTCTGGAAACAATGTATTTGTTCTCATGTTGGTAAGGAAGTAAGGAGGTAAATACATACATTATTGAACATACAAATTTCAAATTTCAACATATTTTAACTACCACATAACTGTGCATATGTTTGTGCAGAGAAATAGAAAACCACAGTCAAGCAAATGAACAATCTGGACCAATTAACTCTCTGAACAATTTGGACCAATTAACTCCTAAGATAGCTGATAACATTTTCCAAGTAAGGTATAAGATTAAGCGAAATAAAATCTTCAAAGATTGCTTTTTTGTCTATTATTTTTTGTGTATGTTTATCACTAGATTACAGGTTCCTTTAGGACAAAAATAGAATATTGTATCCTCTTGGCTTAACGTAGTGTCTTGCACATAGTAGGTCCTTACTAAATATGCATTAGCTTTCAACATAAATTTATATACTCACTGAGCTAATATTTTTGAGCAACCAGGAGTAAGTTCTCATATGCTATACAACTATCTCATATGCTATACAACTTCTGGTTCTATACAAATTTTAGGATTGTTTGTTCCAGCACTTTGAAAAATGCCGGGGGAATTTTGATTGGGATGGCACTGAAAGTATAGATTGCTCTGGGAAGCATAGGCATTTTGACAATGTTTATTCTTCTGATCCATGAGCATAGAATGTTTTTCCATCTTTTGTGTCTTCTTTAATTTCTTTCGTGAGTGTTCTCTGGGTATTACACGCAAACAATAAATCATGGAACACTACATCGAAAACTAATGATGTGGGGGTGCCTGGGTGGCTCAGTCATTAAGCGTCTGCTTTCAGCTCGGGTCATGATCTCAGGGTCCTAGGATCAAGCCCCACATCGGGCTCTCTGCTCAGCAGGGAGCCTGCCTACCCGCCCCCTCTCGCCTGCCTCTCTGCCTACTTGTGATCTCTGTCAAATAAATAAAATCTCAAAAATATATAATAAATAAATATATTAATAAAAATAATAAATAATTTGGATTGCTATATAACAACTTCAGAAGTGGTTGTACCTATACTCATCCAAAATTTCTACTCCAAAATAATATAAATAAATAAATAAATAAATAAATAATAAATAAAATCTCAAAAAAAAATAATGATGTACTGTATGGTAACTAACATAACATAAGGAAAGAAAGAAACAAACAAACAAACCAAGGAGAACAGTGCCAAAATTTGCTACTAGGTGAAATATAAATCTCTCACCTCTACACCATCTTCACAAACTTCATAGCTTTTACTAAAAGCTTTGGGACAATCTCCAGGAATTTTACTACTGGCAATGTGCTCATTGATGTTGTCTCCTTAAAAAGAAAACAATGCTTAGTACTAGATATTCACTATGCACATACATGTTATTTTCAAGCTAAATATAACTAAATTGACTACATAATTTTTTATTTTAACAATTTCTTATTCTTTAGACAAATGCAAATTATTGTTAGGTTTATTCAAATATGAGCAATCATTTTATAATTTTCTTTCAGGAAGCAATTTTATTAGACATTATGCACTGAAATCTCACCTGGAGTGCTGTTGAAGTTACCACAAAGACCACAAGTTGGATATTGCTTGTGAAGAGTAAGCTGTAAAAAAAAAAAAAAAATTACATGTACATGTTTATAAAATATTAAAAATACCTCAAGACAAAGTTTGCCCAAACCAAATGATGTTGTCTCTTCATATTCAATTCTACCTAAGCTGGGTACATAGGCATGTATTAGCGATCCTCTTTTAGAGGGCCTGGATCTAGAAGTTGGAAAGATCCTGACTCTACCTCTTATTAACTGTGTGTCCTTGGATTGATTATTTAGATTGTATTAGCCTGAATTTCCCGAGTTCCATCACCTGTAAAACAAGATTAATAACAGTATGTATTTCAAGGTATTTTAAATTGTAAATAAGATAATGCTTAGTACAGTGCATAATGTGGAGATTTTTCAATAAACCTTAACTCTTATTTTCCTTACAATGTAATGTTTTATAACTGAAAGCAAAGAAGACAAAGCACAGGAATGTAAGAAAATCAGACCCAAACTTACTGAGAGTTTATTTTTGTCCCACATCAAAGACAGGATTCCTCTACGGCTTTTCAGGACATAATGTTCTCCATATTTTTTAATATGTATCAATTTATTGTCATATGGTATCTGCACTCTGAAAAGTTTAAGATACAAGTACATATAATGGTAAAAATAGTATTATAACTTTTAAAATAATTCATGTTCTATATTTAGTGTCATAAATATAATACTGGCTAATAAATATTAAAGCTTAGGGCACCTGGGTGGCTCAGTTGTTAAATGTCTGCCTTCAGGTCGGGTTGTCATCCCAGGGTTCCGGGATCGAGCCCCGCATCGGGCTCCCTGATCTGGGGAAAGTCTGCTTCTCTCTATCCCACTCCCCCTGCTTGTGTTCCCTCTTTCATTGTTTCTCTCTCTCTCTCTCTTTCTGATAGATGAATAAAATATTTTAAAAATATATTAAAGCTTTCTTTTTCCTTTCATTTCAGAAGAAGAAACACAATGGTTTTGTTTTTCCAATATTTGAAAGACTTTTAGGGAACAATGACTAAATCCTTGGGGCTTTGGAGAAAAAAAAAGAAAAAACTCATTCTGTATAAGAAATAAATGATCAAATAATTTGAAATGTTCACAAGTAGAATATCATGCCTCAACTTCTTATACTGGAAAATATTCAAATATGGCATCCCTTCCAAATATGAATTGCTACTTCTAAAAACAATGGCCTAAGGTTCAGTCTAATGAAAGTCCCATATTTATATTTAATGATAGACATACGAATGAAAACTAAGATATTCTATTAGCAGATTGGTTGAATATGCACGTTGCCCCAAATCTAGATACTCAAAATAGTCAAACAACAGAGCTACTCTTTTTATCTCCACCTTGTTATAGGAATAAATATAGTATTTTACAATCCTACATAAAACAAAATCCTCTATCAGACTCCTGTCCAAGAAATTATTATAAAATCCAATATGAGAACCAAAATAGGAAAAGAGTACCATCTTTTCCCTATTCAACCTTTTTTTCTTTTTGCTCTGGTTACTCCAAGTGCTTCTATAACATTTATCCATAACACTGTGGCATTTACCTTTCTTCATTAACTAGAATGCGATCACCAGAAATAGAGACCTCATTATTATCGATTTCAACTGCTATTTTTTCAAAGTCACCATTACTCTTTCGTTTGATCTCAATATTGAAATCTCCTCCAGATTCAACGCAGTGATGGCAGAAAGTGTATGCGCAGGAAGACTCAAAGGAAAAGATGAGGCCATTGAAAGCTTTATATATTCCTTTGCCCCAAGTAGTAGCTTCACCTGCAAAATATTCAGAGTAGAATACTCATAATTATTTAGAACTATTAATGTAGCATCTAGTTCTGATTTTTTAAGTGTTTATGTACCAAGAGAAAACATCACAGAAAGGTTCTGTTTTCACAGCCAACACATTAAATCAGTATTTTTCTTTCTCACATATAGCAAAAACACACTAACAGTAGTACTTTAATCCTTGGGAATACATAATGGTGCCTATTCTGCTCAAATAAAACATGAATAAAAACACCTTGTTTCCAATGGAAAAGGGAAATTGTCTCTACTGGGGAAGGTATATACAGAGGGAGTTGTGATCTGTTTGCCTACTTGTTTTACTTCTTGTAGAGATAGTCTTTCTAATGTTGCACAAGGGGATTACCATTTATAGCAAATAAGTGTAAAGAATATTATTTCTCTATGTACATGCATCTGCACATGTATGCGTATGTGTATACCTGTGTCTGTGTCATGTGTATATGTGTGTGCATGCATGTGTATGTGTACCTTTGAGGAAAATAGTACAAATGTGGTGTCATTCAGAAACAGATAGATGATGGGCAAATGTTTAAAACCAGTTCCAAATTTTGGCTAATTTGTAATTCCATTAGATACTGGCTGGCTTGGACATAAAAATATATATAGAAATCCCAGTCATTTTTACTTACCAATAACTGGGCTCACTTCTGAGTACTTCGGAATGGCTTCTGGAATATTGGATCCTTTTTCTATTTAACACAATGCACGGATTACTTAGATTTATTTATTTATTTATTTATTTGACAGACAGAGATCACAAGTAGGCAGAGAGGCAGGCACAGAGTGGGGGGGGGGGAAGCAGGCTCCCTGCTGAGCAGAGAGCCTGATGCAAGGCTTGATCCCAGGACCCTGAGATCATGACCTGAGCCAAAGTTCGGGGCTTAATCCACTGAGCCACCCAGGCGCCCCTTAAATTTCAAGACACATATTAATTTTTTTTTCTTTTTTCTTTTTCTGATAAATTGATTTTAAATATACAGGACACTTGAACTTATACATGGGAACTTGGAAGCTGATTCTGAAGGTCATCAATGGGTTTCTTTATCCTGAATATATAATTTGATTTTGTGAGAGCTGTGATTTACCAAGTTCATTTACATGATTATCTCTTAAATCCATATTTTTTCTTGAACAACTAGTCATTGTATTTTCAGAAATCATTGTGAGCTTATTCATTTTGGGTTACGTACAATTACTAACATATGCGGCATCCCCCATAGACCTATATTTTGAACTTCAAAAGTAAAACTTTGCTAGCATACTTTTATTGGGAGCCATTAGCTAAACAGGTCCAAGGTAGATTTTTATTAAATCAGTCTACAATCTGATACTAATAAGTCAATTATCTATGTTAAAGAGAACTCAATTCTCCTGGTCAAAGAGGAAAATTCATATCCCTTGATACTTTTCTGTGATTGTTTATTTCCAAAGCATTTTATGTGACTAAGTAAATTTACATGAAATCTTAGAGCAAGGCCTAAAATCAAGCAGAATAAAAGAGCAACAACAAGAAAAATCAATATTTTAATAGAATTTTTAAATTTTTTTTACAATGCCGTTTATTGTATATTTTGGGACCACTTGTCTTTGCTAAAGGCTGTCTTTTCCCAGGTCAAGTGGAAGTAGATTGAATTCTTAGTTTATTTACAAAATCATTTAAAAATAACATATCTAAAATGATAAAGAAGAAGTTGCATTATGCTTTATTTAGATTCCTTTAAAGTATAACTTAATATATCTTATTAATGGAGTTGTTTAAAATATACAGTTGGTTATGTAAATCATATTACTCAAAGAGAAGCATTTAGAAGCTCAGTTCAACATGGAAAAGACATAACAATATCACATGCTAGTAAATCAATAATCCACAAAACATTTAAATTTCAAAATTATACATAGAGATATACATATACACAGATACGCACATATGCATCAGATATATAGAGATTTTAAATACTGAAAGCCACAAAACAAATTACCTGGAGTACTGAATGGTCCAGAGGTACTGCTGTCAGAGGAGCTTGTGACACCTATTTTAATATAAAATAGTTAAGCTGTTTCATAAATGTATACATTTCACTTGGTAAAATATGAAAAGAAAAGTTTTTAAAATCTGATGGATAAACCATGGATTCAAGTTCATCGATGCTAATGCTAGCAGACTTAGAACAATGTAAAGCTGTATAAGAAAAATATATATTATCAACTCAACAACCTGTGGGAGAAATAAAATTAAATGCCTCATCACCAAATGAACTGACATCAAGTTAATTTATTCCAGATCAATTGCCTTAAAATGTATTCAGGAAAAGAGAAAGGTTTGCATTAACAGGACTCAGGGTCTCCTATCTCAGTTTCAACCACACTTACTCCCACTTTGAATTGCTTTACATTTGGGATATCTAGGTGCCATTTCCAGATGTCAATGGAACAAAGGAGTCTGCAGTCACAAAAACTGGAAATATGAAAACCATTAATCTAGTTGAGCTGAGATGTTCCTCTGAATAAGTCTAAGATCAAGAGATAATAATCTCAACAGATCCAGAACTTGCTATTTCAAAGCCACTAAGTTCACTGCCATTAGATATACTAACAGAAAGAACACTAATTAATAAGTCTGTCTCATTTAAAAAATTAAAGCAGTCAAAAGCTGGCATCCCAATAGCATAAAAATTTCAAATTGGTAACCATTCCAAAACAGAAAGATGAGAAGCAGTTACTGCCTACATTTCTCAGGAACACATCCTAAATTTGAATACCTGAGCTAATGACAGCAGATCTGGGGCTTCAATATTCAGTGTCTAATAAACCAATTGTACCAACTGGGTTTAAACAAAATTGGTGGCATAAATAATGAGTGATTTCAAATTTCTCATTTCCATTGCAGTGTTGACCTCAAAACTGATGTCCAAAGATTAAGAACAACCTAAAATAGAATTATTATTTCTATGTGACCAAGCCTTTTTTGAACAGATTCACTAATAGTCAATCCGGACAGAGGTCAACATTACTACACTACCATGTATCTCCTGCTAATTAGACTTTACCTTTTAAAAATGTATCATTCCTAAAGTTGAGTTCTAAATGTGAATCCTGAACGTTTTTCAGATCACCCATATCACGAGAAGTGAACCTACTACCCACAGTTCTGTGGTCATCCAGTCTAGTGTCTTCCAAGACTTTCTAATACTGCTAGCAGCACCAAAATAGTTCCCATGTCATAATAAGTATTCTTTAACAATGCATACCACAAATTCCTAGACTATTCAATCTAATGTTTCCATTAAGTAGAAATATTAAAATTTATGAGATTTTCAAAAGGGATGGAACTCATTTACTCTTATCAGAAATAAACCTGCAAAAAAATTTAAACTACCAAGACCAGATCCAGAATACAAAGCTCAAACCCAACAAATTATTGGCTACTCTAACCACCTCTTCAGCTTCTGCAACTCCCAATCAGTTGTGCATAAAGGCAACAAAAATAACTCCACATCAGTATAATCACAGCCACAAAACTCATTCTACATTCTATGCCAAACAATATTAAATGACTTTTCCCTGATCACATCTACATACAGTTTATCATTTCACAATTTTGGCTTGCTTTTTGTATCATTACAAATGTTTGTGATTTAAATTGCTATTTTATAATGTATTTCAGAATCCTGACTTTCTAATCATCAGACATAAATCTCAATTCTCAAGCCGTGGAAACCAGACCCAGTAACATCCTTTCCAGTATCACAGATACCTGTACCACCACGGCCAGTTTCACCAAATTCGTTTGGTCCAGAAGCAACACCACCAAATGCAGCTGTACCCTTCCTTCCTTCACCACTTCCAGAACCAGAAGACCAAGTGTTTTCTCCTAATGGAAAATCAAGATGTGATTAAAAGAAATAAAGAAGGAAGAAATTAATTTGGATTTCTTGGGAATGGAGTCCATGTTAATCTGCCTGAGCCGCTGATGTCAGATCCAGGACTAAAGTATCAAGTCCCCACAAATCCATTGCCTCTCTCCATTCCCACCAATTCCATTGATTTCAAACCCCAGCTGATCAGATGACCCCAAATTTGATCCTGAATCTTCAGAGATACCAACCAGAATATCCATACACATTTCTTGCACTTGAGTCACCTGCTGAATACAAAATGATCGTCACGAGAATTATTTGTCATGCATCCTATGATTCAGAATTTTTCTAGGCACAGAAATTAACCACCAATACCTAGAACACTGGAGCTAGAGCTTCCAGGACCACCTACTCTATTTCCATCAAAGTCTTTACCACTATGGCCACTGGATTGTGTTGCCTCCAGAATCTCCAAAACCAAACTGAGTTTCACTCTTCCTTTCTTCATTTTCATAATTAGAAAACAAAGTCCTTCCCTCTAATGGAAAATTTAAATGTTATTTTTAAAAATGATAAAAAAAATTTAAACCCATTTCAATTTCAGCAAGAGTCTAGGTTAGTAGAATGCCTGAGTTATGGGCATTGGACCTGAGATTCATGGATCCACGGACAACATACATGCTGCTGCTCATTCCATCAATCCCCTACCTCCAACTTTCTTTAACCAAGTACCAAATCCTGAATTTTGAAAAATTTTTAAAGATTTTACTTATTTATTTGAGAGAGAGCGGGAGAGGGTGGGAGAGGCAGACTCCCCACTGAGCAGAGAGCCTGACATGGGACTCAATCCCAGGACCCTGAGATCATGACCTGAGCCAAACACAGACATTTTACCAACTGAATCACCCAGGCACCCCTGAATTTTCAAAATTACCACCAGCATGCTCACCACCACCTCTTGCACTGGTACTTCTACCAGAATATTAAAAGTATGTCCATAGGAAATATTTGATATATTTTATAATTGAGAAATTTAAGCACAAAATTTACTAGCAACATCCATACCACTAAAAGTAGATTCTCTAGTACCTTTTATTACATTTTTACTAAGGCCAGTGTCATCAAATCGATTTGAACCAGAATCTCCAAAATCAAATTTAGCTTCACGTTTCCTTTCTCCATGTCTCAAATCAAACGATGAGGACTTTTCCACTAACAGAGAAATAAAAATGTTAGCACAACAACAGATGAAAGCCTGAAATCAATTTATATTTCACCTAAGCAGAGTCCAAAATTAGACTACCTGAGCCACTGGCATCAGATTCCCTGCTGCTCTTATCACTCTGATAAGATCCACTGCTTTCAAATTCCTTTTGACCAAATTTCTCAAAACCATATCTCAAATTTTCTGATATCCCATCAACAAAATTATCCCCAATTCTTACACTGGTGTTGCCTGCAGAATATAAAATGATTGTCATCAGAACATATTCCAATAAATTTTATGATTCAAATACTTTTTAGGCACAGAAATTAAACATCAAGACCTAAACCACTGGAACTAAATCCACTAGTACATTTAATACCATTATCACCACTGTCACCCCAGTGATATGAACTAGAATCTCCAAAATCAAATTCAGTTCCAAACATCTTTCCTTCAAGTCCAAAATCAAAAGACCCAGGCCTTCCCACTAACAGAAAATTAAAAATATTATCAAATAAAATACCAAATATTCAAAATTCAATTGGATTTCTCAGGAACAGAGACTGAGTGGAATACCTGAGCTACCAGCATCAGATCCAAAGCCTTTGAATCCAGCCCCAGCAGATCCACTGCCTCTCATTCTAGTCCCTCCAATTTCATTGATTCCAAAGCCCTGTTGACCAGAAACCCCTACATTGATTTCTGATTTTCCAGAGCTGTCACCAGCAAATGTATTCCGATTTCTCAAACTGGTATCACCTGCAGAATATAAAATGATGTCACAGGGTATATTGAAAACACTTCATGATTCAGAAATGTTTATACATAAGAAATTAGATATCAATACCTAGATCATTGGGAATGGGTCCTCCAGAACTATTCATTTGCTTTCCTTCAATTTTTATTTTGCCATTAATGTCACTGTCACCAAATGAACTTGAACCAGAAGCTCCAAAACCAAATGCAGCATTGCCCTTCTGTTTTCCAAGTTCCCAACCAAAAGACCCAATTCCAACTGACAGAAAAATTAAAATAATATTAAAAATTAATCTTAATTAATAAGTTTATTACTAAATATTTAAAAAATCCATTTTTAACCAATTAGTTACTTTAATTAATTTCAAATTTTCTGGAATGAGTCTTAGTTGGAATACCTGGGCTATGGACATCAAATCCGAAACCGACTGATTCACCCCTGGCAGATCCTCTGCTGCTTATTTCACTCTGGTCAGCTCTATCAATGCCCAATCCCTTCTGATCAGATGCCCCCAAACCAAATCTCAAATTTCCAGAGATACTGCTACTAAATCCAGCCCTACTTTTTGAGTTGGTATTATCTGATAAAATTAAAAAAGAAAAGACAAAAGATTGTTACCAGGTAATAATTAAATACAACTTATGACTCTATCCTTCATACACAAAACCTAAATAGTAATAATTAGACCACTGGAACTTGACTTTCCAGTGTTCCCTATTTCATTCTCACCAGTCTTTTTTGTTTGAGACTACTGATACCCATTCCACATGAACCAGAATTACCAAGACCAAATTCAAATTCATCCCTCCTTCTACCACCAAATCCAAAATCAAAAGGCAAATGTAAAATTCAACTGTTCTCAAAAGAAAAATAAAAAAAAAACCCAAAGGATGTAAATGATTAATTATTTGTATTGTTTCATTACAGAGTCTAGATCAGAATTCCTGAGCCAGTGATATGACAGCCAAAGCCCAATGGATTTACCAACAAACTCCATTCTGTTCTTCCTCTTTGCATTAATATCCACATCTTTTAAGATAAATTGCTCTGACACAAAAATGCAAAGATTTACATATTTTATTGACCCTAACCTCTTCACTGACTTTAATTTCCAAATATAGAATGCTATTTACCCACACTTTTGTAAATTTGTGGTTTTTTTCTGACATTCTTCTTTAAGAACACTAGTTGAAATATGAGTAATGAAACTTAAAAAATGAACACCACGGAAGTAGAGAAACATGAAACCCAAATTCTCCTGTTCCTTATAACAAAACTTGGGAACAAGAGAGTTTAGGTGCCTTTCCCAAAGTCCACAGAAGGTAAGCAGGAAAGACCGGGGATAGAAACTGGGTCTCTTTCTTCCAGGTCCAAAATCCTTCACAATTAAATCTAACTGCCTCTTCACTAAAATGTTTAAATTGCTGATTTCTGTTGAAGATAACACAGCTCCTTTAAGAATCAAACATAATTTAAAAATCATTCTCTCTAACACTGAATCAGGTCAAAACAACACTACCTTCCCTGCTTTGTTAATTGATTTTTTTTTTTCTGTCAAAAGCAGAAACTAAGGAACAAGTTAGAATACCTGTTTCACTGGTAGCAGATTTAGAGCCACCCAATCCATTTACCGCATTCACATCAAATCCACTTTGGCCAGATGGACCCCTACCAATGTTATTTTGATTTGAAGCAGTGCCACCAAATGTCATATCACCAGAAATACTGCTGGCAAAACCACTTGCTAACTTGGTTTTCTCTGCCATACAAAAACACAATTGCTATCAGAAAAAAAGTTGCATTCACTCATATGTACAAGAAATTAATCTATACACATTGCTTGAACTAGGCCTACGTTATCATTTCAAAAATATCGTCCCCCTCCCCTCCATACATCTTGCCATATATAATTCCATACAGTATAACCAAGGGTGTGCATGGCAAAAAATTTACCATGAGGTTTGAGAATTCCATAAGAAAACTAAAGCACTGGGACTACTTAAGATAAATTTCACTTTCTTCTTTAGAACATGACAAAACAATGAATAATTGAGTATTGTGAACAAGAGAAAGCATATCTGCATGAACTTATTCATCATACTATGTTTGTCAGTCCCAAAACAGATGGCTGGACAGACAGGAAACTGCACTCCTATACCCCAAACTGTTTGTCCCTTTTCAGTTATCACCACTTTGACTCAAATATTCAATTTCAATATAAAATACTGAAGTTATTTTCCTCATTGAATCTCCTTCTTTTCTATTTTTGCACAGGTAAGAACTATACAGATTTGAGGACCAGGCAAGTAAAGTAAAACTTGGCCAATTGGGAGAAGTGTGTAGAACCAGAGAGAACATGCCTCATCTAAAGAAAGTTGATTTTTTTTTCAAACAAAACCAAATAGCAGACCACAAACTGTTTTCAAACACTACTTTATAATATTACTCATAAAACTGAGTATGCAATTTAAAGACAGAATCCCAGTATAGAAAATAAATTGTGGTTGGAGACAAAAATGGGAGTAGAGAAAACTTGCACCAAATTTGGGGTCTGGAAGTACTGTAATTAAATATCATAAAAATGATTGATCATTATAATAGCACCAAGAAGAAAGATAGCACAGGAAAACTAAAATGATCAGGAAAAAAAAAATGTAACTTAATGTAAATATCTTTGCCAAAATTCTCTAAAGACAGAATTCATCAGTCTCATTGGCCCTAGAATTAGTGCCTTTCTATTCCCCACTATTAATTAAGGCCATGTGCTGCTAATAATGCAAAGATTATCAGGTTACCCCAAATGAAATAAAGCACTTGTTTCCTAAATAAGCATTTTTCTCTAACAGTACCTGCCAGAGTGTTTTTTAACACTAAACTATCAGTATCTCGATGTTTCCTCGACCCATCTTCAGCCCCTCCTGGAGCATTTAATCCAGTGTTAAGGAGTGAACCAGTAAGAGATTTCTTTCTTCTGTTTGGGTCAGCAAAGCTCAGACTACTGAACAAAAAGCCACCTAATGTGAATAACAGAAGATCATATTTGAAAACAGTATTGAGAGCACAAAAAGGGGATTTCATTGTGACACTCTGAAAACCATGTTATTCCCTGTTATTCTGGCAGCCCTTGGAATAACATACACTTCTTATTGCCTTCATAGTCATACCCATACTTTTTTGTAATAATTCTAAGACTTCAAGAAAGAGTGATGAAAGAGCTGTGAAGATTTCACTGCTGTGTACTAGACACTCTTCTTACAGTTAGGGCAGAAACCTCCCCAGTTGCTTCCTCTCCATTGATAAGCCCTGAGTTCCAGTGTCCAACCTCCCCCCATCAAAATATTCTACTGTGTTGAATCCATACTGTCCTTGGTTTAGGAATAGCTGATAAAATTAAAATAACGTACCTGCTTGTCTTTTCTGTTTTCCTACAAAGAAAAAACAATGAGAACATTTACTTATCAATTGTAGCATTCACTTCCTTCAAGTCTCAGCCTAAGTGTCATCTCAATGAGGCATACTCTGACAATTCAAAATTGCCACCCCCATTCTAATAATCCTAATTATCATTATATTACTCTAATTTATTCCGAAGATTGTATCACCTTGTACACCATGTTTACCACTTCTGTTTACTGCTTACTGACTGTCTGCTTCTTCTAGATTTTAAGCTCCATAAACTCAAGGTTTATGGCCTGTTTTATTCACTGCAGTATCCCAGGCGTCTAGGTATTAGATCTTAATATCTAAATATCTTAGTTTGATGCCAAGCAGAGAGAAATGAGGCAGTATTCAGGAGTAGGAAACCTATGAGCTTTTGAGTCAAACCCAACTAGACTCCTAGACCAACATCAGAATGGCCTTTGACTATGCCTCTCTTAGACTCAAGAAAGAGGGATCCCCACTCAGAACCACTCAAGTCTCAGTCTGGCCTTCCTCATGCCACAGCTCTCGTCAGAGGGCAAAGAACAAAGGTAGAGAAGTCAACATACACCAACCCAGAACCTGTGCCATCTTCCCTTTCCTGTAGACCGTACTGAGTCCCCAAAGCTCCGTGATCCCAAGTCTGCTCTCAGGACCTTCATAAGCATCCTTTCAAGACCATTTTCCCAAGGTTACACCATATTGCAGCAATAAGTCCTAGGCTGGGGGGATGATCAAGGAGTGCTTCTTTGCAGGAGTAATAAATATGCTGAGACATGGAGGCAAGGGTATTTCTGTATCTGTGGGACAAACCTAGAGATGGACAGAGGGGGCGTGGGGGTGGGGGGAGACAGGGCATTGGCAAGGGTATTGCACACCCTTTTCTTGTATTGAATTCCAGTGATTTGAAAATTCTTCTTTAGAATCAGGCCTTCTAGGTGGTCACAAATATGCTTTTGTCAAGATTATTCTAAGTGTTCCCTTGTCTCACTCAAACTTCTCAAGTGAGGACTTTTAGAATGTTCAAGACTCATATGACCCAATTTATTCTAATTAACAATCAGATTTTGTACTCTTGGAAGGAAGAAGCTCTTGGTCTATCATTATGGTAAAACCAAATGAGTCCTATCCATAGTTATGATGAAGTGAAGACAGACTTTGCTGTCTTCATGGGACAACTGACCTGCTGCTTATTCTCAGTCTCTGTTTACCTCAAAGAACACATCTTCCAATTATATTTTATTGTATTTAGGTTGTAGAAAGACACAGATCTAAAATATCACATAAGAAAAACATATAAAAGTAATCTTGGGCTATTTTGACTACTATATGCATTAGACCAGATCCAATTAAATCTATATTGATATTAGCAAAAGTCCTTTTCTTAGATTTAAGAAAAATCCTTTTCTTAGATTTAAGAAAAATCCCATAAAACACTCTTGGTTTGCTGTGGCTTATTTTTCATTTTCGTGGATAGAGAAACAAAATAATGGATAATACTCAGTGTTATTCAATTTTCTGAGGGAATCTGTAATAAAACTAATAGGACCAGGATCAATTTTAATTAAAGCAGATCTCTAAGAAATTAGTTCAATAATACAAAGTACTTACTTAAGGAAAGTAAATCCTTAAATCTATATTCACATTTCTCTTACAGGTTTAAAAATTTTAGAAAAGCAAGTAACCACAGCAATTTTTTTATTTGAAATGTCACTACCTTTATAAATGCTGATTAATTTTTTTAAATATCTGGCCCAGAATATTCAAAAACATACTATAGTATTTTTGCTTATAATAAGGAATATTTCATTTTAAATGTTTTAATGCTATTTCCAGGACAGATATGCCTTTTCTCCAAATAAAAGCACTGTCACTTTATTGTTGTTTAGTATAAAAGTAATTTACTGATGTACTTTCAGCAATTTTTCCATCTGAAGAAAAAAGGGAGAATTGCTGTCATTAGTAGCTTATCTGACAGATTTGCCAACAGAAAGTTAATTTTGACTGCAGCTATTTCTTGTCCTTGGGAGGTGTTCCCACAGAGCTGTGCTCATTGAATCCAACATTCAGGCATGAATATGGTAATTATCCTTTGATCATGGTGTATTTATACCTCTCCAGAACACCCCCATAAAAGAAAAAGGCTCCACTGGTCCTCCAAACAGTTTAAAGTACAGCTTAGGTTCAGGAATTAGAACATAGCAAAAATAATAATAATAATAATTATTATTATTATTATTATTATTCTTGGATGACTAAAAAGGTGCAAAGCATTGACTCCTATTCTGCTGGTGAAATGCAGAAGTTTTAGTTAAAAGATTTTTTAAAAAATACTGGATGAAACTAATCACTTAATTTGAATGAAATGGATACAATTTCTATTGTACCACTAGATACAAAATTAAGGTACATGTTATATACAAATGATTTAAGTGTTATTGTTTATCAAGGTGAATTTGCTTAACATTTAAGTAAATAGCATGATTTGCAAGACTGTCAAATTATAGTAAGTATAGCTGAGTCAAAAACACACTAAAAATGAGAAATTTATAAAAAATGACAATTTACATATAAGCACATGTATTGTTATATTTAAAGATATAAACATATTTTATCAAATATATAAAAGCATTGGCTTCCCAGAGAATTTTCTTAAGAATTTTGTGAAATGAAACATTTAACAATGGCAATAGAATTTTGCATAAAATTATATGTTGATTACATATTCAAGAACCCTCAAAAAATATTTTGGGTAATATTTTTAGTTTGGTACTTAATGGATTGTAGATTTTTTTTAATGCTTCTCCATATTCTATAATCTTCACAAATTTCCTAAGCCCAAAATGACTATATTATTCAAATAAAAATCAAAGCATATGGTCTGATACTAAGATACACTTTCAGAAATTGGACTGTCCTGAAAAATCCAGGACTTATGGTTGCCATATCTATTCCAGAAACATAGGCATAAATTAAGTGAAACAGGAAATAGCCAGTTAAAAGACAGAGTTTCCATGTGTTCTGAAAACTGTTTCCAAAACAAAGTTGTACATAATTACACATATAAATACATTTACACATATTTAGCCAAAGGCTAAGAAGAAATGGTTTGGAGACACCTAATATAAGTGCTTCGAAAGAAAACTATATGATAACATTCTCCATATAGGTTAAAAACCTGGAAATTTCTAATTATTTAAAATGTAGTCTGCAGTCAGAAGTCATTCCCAAATCCTCTTACAACAAATAGAGATGTTACAAAACCCATGCAAAAACTATTCTCATCAGAAAAAAGTCCCTCAGGGCCCCACTCAGGACACACAAGTCCTACAACAAATACTAGACTGAAAGCAATAAATAAAAATCAGTACCTGGGTGCAAAAAAAAAAAAAAAAGATATAATCCTATCAGGATATAGAGTTAAATGTTTAATAGAAATGAAAAGACGGAAAGGAAAATCAAAAGCAGAAACATAGAAACCATCTTTAGAGCAAGGCTTAACTATCCTACACATGGCATTAGATCCTGAGGGCACCATTGCCTGATATATAATATGATAACTGGCATTCATTTTTGTGTCCCTGAAAAAGACTAGAATATGTTCTCAAGTCCCTCATCTTCTCAGGTAAAAAGGTAAGAGTATCTGTGTTTCATTTCAGAAGTTTTACTTTGGAAAGGATTTGGTTATTTTTATACAGAAAATTCTTGTATGCAGAACAAATCATATCTATAATCCAAAATTATATCATTAATTCAAAACAAGTATGATATCTCTATTCCATTGAAGCCATTGTTCTCAGCATTTTTAAATACAGAACAAAGAGTATAGACCAAATCATATCTTTGAGGTATTCACAATTGTGTGGGATAAATGAGTAAGGAGTCACAGTAGTTTATTCCCAAATCAAGTGTGTATAAAACACATCAATTTTCTGTATTCCATGTTGTCAAGAATGTAAATTGTTTCAGCTATCATAGAAAAATTGTATGGAGTTTTTCAAAAAATAAAAATAGAATTAGCATATGACCTACAAATTCCACTTCTGGGTATATATTCAAAAGGATATGAAATCACTATCTCAAAGAGGTATCTCCACTTCTATGTTCATTCCACCATTATTCACAATAGCCAAGACATGGAAACAACCTAAATGTCCACCAACAGATGAATGGCTAAAGAAAGTGTGGTACATACATGAATGGGATACTATCCAACCATAAGAAAAGAAAATTCTGCCATTTGGGACAACATGGAAGGACCTTGAAGGCATTGTGCTATGAGAAATAAATCTAACAGAAAAAGACAAATATTATATAATCTCATTTGTATGTGGAATCTAAAAACATCGAACTCCTAGAAACAAAGTAAAATGGTGTTTGCCAGGAGTTCGAGGTTGAGATAAATGTGGAGATGTTGATCAAAGGGCACAAACTTCTAGTTCTAAGATGAATAAGTTCTAGGGAATCTAATGTATAAGCACTTTGACTATAGATAATAATATTGTATTGTATATTTAATAGTTGCTAAGAGAATAGGTCTTAAAAATTCTCACCACACATACATACATACATACACACAAGTGATTATATACAATGATAGCGGTGTTGAATTGTGGTAATCATTTTACAACATAAACATGTATCAAATCATGTCATATATCTTAAACTTACACAATGTTATATGTCAATTATATCTCAATAAACATGGGGAAAAAATCCCTGTGTTCCAAAAGAAACAAGCTCAGAACAAGCCATTGATATCTCAAAGTAAAGATTAATTTCTGGTAGATACAGACCTGATTTTTTTCTGTATAATAGGGCTTCCCCATCTATAAAAAAAGGAAAAAAGCAATAACAATTATGTCATTTTATATTTCTCTATAGTATTTTTTAAAACAATGAAAATAATATTCTGCTTATTTCCATTCTTTTAAATTCAATCCATGGAAACTACTTTTTATATCTAAAAATTATGATTTTCAATATTAATTTATTGAGAGCTTTCTTATATAGGTCTAGGTATGCATTTACCTATCACAAACTCTAAATCAAAGTTTTCAATGTCAACTCATTATTGAAAAAAATATATGGCCAAATAAATTAAATTCACAAAATTTATATTAGTCAGTACTTTAACATCTTTTTCATACTATCAAAATCTTTTACATCTGTCAATCTAAAGTATATTTTCCAATTGAAATTTCAACTACATTTATTTTCCCCTAAACATTTCTGGTTAGTGTATTCACAAACAGTGAATTAGACAAAAGACAAAAACAGGAAAGGAAGGAAGTAAAGAAAGAAGAAAGAAAGAGGAGGGAGGGAAAAGGCAACCAATTGTATAGATTTTGCCCTACTAAGAAGCTAGAATAATAAGGGAAAAAATAATATTTGATTATATGTATCCATTTCATGTCAGATCTATAGTTCACCTTACTAAAGTTTTTCTCCACTTAGTCAGGGTATTGTTTTTTAATTTTCTTTTCTTTTTTTTTTTTTTGTGCAGTTATGGTTGCTTAAACAGTAAAACTTTTTCTTCTAACAGACCAAAATATTCCACAAATTAAGTGTGTGGCTCTGTTTTATTCATCAGCCTGATAATATTTTTTTTTCTTTTCCCCCACTTTTGGGCCTCTTCTGATATGTTTAGTGTTCATTTTTCTGGGGTCATTGTTACCCTTTTAGCATTTTGTTCTCCCATTCATCTATTCTTCTCTGGAAAAAATGACAAGGTGGAAAACTCACCTCAAAAAAAAAAAAAAGAACAAGAGGCTGTACTGACTGCTAGGGATCTAATCAATACAGACATTAGTAAGATGTTGAACTAGAGTTCAGAATGCTGATTATAAAGATACTAGCTGGATTTGAAAAAAAGCATAGAAGATGATAGAGAATCCCTTTCTGGAGAAATAAAAGAACAAAAATCTAACCAAGTTGAAATCAGAAAAGCTGTTAATGAGGTGCAATCAAAAACAGAGGTTATTACTGCTAGGATAAATGAGGCTGAAGAGAGAATTACTGATATAGAAGACCAAATGATAGAGAATAAAGAAGCTGAGAAAAAGAGATAAACAACTACTGGATCATGAGGGGAGATTCTGAGTAATAAGTGATACCATAGATGAAACAATATTAGAATAATTGGGTTCCCAGAAGAAGAAAGAGAGAGGGGGGCAGAAGGTAATATTGATATCTTTAGAGCACTAAATGAGAAAAATATGCAGCCAAGAATACTATATCCAACTAGGCTGGCATTGAAAATAGAAGGAGAGATAAAAAGCTTCTAGGACAAACAAAAACTAAAATAATTTGCAAACACCAAACCAGCCCTAAAGGAAATATTGAAAGGTGTATTCTAAGCAATGAGACAGCCTAAAAGTAATATAGACTGGAAAGGAAGAGAGACAATATACAGTAACAGTCACCCTATAGGCAATAAATTCATATCTTTCATATCTTTCTGAATGTAAATATGACAAATGCCCCCAATCAAAAGACACAGAGTATCAGAATGGGGGAAAAAAGGCCCCACCGATATACTGTCTGCAAAAGACTCCTTTTAGACCCAAAGACACCTCCATATTTAAAGTGAAGGGGTAGAAAACAATTTATCATGCTAATGGACATCACAAGAAAGCTGGGGAGGTAATCCTTCTATCAGACAAATTAGATTTTAAGCCAAAAACTATGAGAGATGAGGAAGGACACTATATCATACTTAAAGAGTCTGTCCTACAAGAAGATCTAACAATTTTAAATTTCTATGCCCCTAACATGGGAGCAGTCAATTATATAAACCAATTAATAACAAAATCAAAGAAACACATTGACAATAATACAATAATAGTAGGAGACTTTAACACCCCCATCACTAAAATGGAGAGATCATCTAAGCAAAAGATCAACAAGGAAATAAAGGCTTTAAATGACACACTGAACAAGATGGACATCACAGATATATTCAGAACATTCCATCCCAAAGCAACAGAATACACATTCTTCTCTAGCGCACATGGAACATTCTCCAGAATAGATCACATCCTGGGTCACAAATCAGGTCTCAGCCAGTACCAAGACTGGATCATTCCCTTCATATTTTCAGAACACAATGCTTTGGAACTAGAACTCAACCACAGAGGAATGTTGGAAAGAACTCAAATACATGGAGCCCAAAGAGCATCCTACTAAAGAATGACTGGGTCAACCAGGAAATTAAGAAGAATTAAAAAAAAAATTCATGGAAACAAATGAAAATAATAACACAATTGTTCAAAATCTTTGGGATGCAGCAAAGGGGGTTCTAAGAAGAAATTATATAGCAATACAAGAAGAAGAAGGAAGAAGGAAGAAGGAAGAAGAAGAAGAAGAAGAAGAAGAAGAAGAAGAAGAAGAAGACAAAGAGGAATAAGAAGGAGGAGGAAGAAGAGGAGGAGGAGGAAGGGGGGAGGAGGAAGAGGAGGAGGGGGAGGAAGGGGAGGAGGAGGGGGGATGGGGGAAGGAGGAAGAGGGGGAAGAGGAGGAGAAGGAGGAGGAGGAGGAAGGGAAATAATAAAGATCAGAGCAGAAATTAATGGAATATAAACCAAAAGAACAGTAGAACAGATCAATGAAACTAGGAGCTGGTTCTTTGAAAGAATTAACAAGATTGATAAACCCCTGGCCAGACTTATCAAAAAGAAAGGAGAAAGGACCCAAGTTAATAAAATCAAGAATGAAAGAGGAGAGATCACAACCAATACCAAAGAAATACAAGAAACAGAGGCATTCTTAGGGATGTATAAACTACCAAAACTAAACCGGAAGAAATAAAAAACCTGAACAGACACATAACCAGTAGGAAAACTGAAGCAATAATATAAAATCTCCCTACAAACAAGAGCTTAGGGCCAGATGACTTCCTGGGGGAATTCTATCAAATATTTAAAGAAGAATTAATACCTATTCTCCAGAAACTGTTCCAAAAAAACAGAAATGGAAGGAAAACTTCCAAACTCATTTTATGAGGCCAGCATTACCTTGAACCCAAAACCATACCAAGACCCCATCAAAAAGGAGAACTACAAACCAATATCCCTGATGAACATGGATGCAAAAATTCTCACCAAAATACTAGCCAATAGAATCCAACAGTACATTAAAAGGATTATTAACCAGGGCCAAGTGGGATTTATTCCTGGGCTACAAGGGTGGTTCAACATCTGTAAACCAATCAATGTGATACAATACATTAATAAAAGAAAGAACAAGAACCATATGATCCTCTCAATAGATGCAGAAAAAGCATTTGACAAAGTACAGCATCCTTTCTTGATCAAAACTCTTCACAATGTAGGGATAAAAGGCATATATCTCAACATCATAAAAGCCATCTATGAAAAACCCACAGCAAATATCATTCTCAATGGGGAAAAAGTGAGAGTTTTTCCCCTAAGGTTTAGGAACACAGCAGGGATGTTAAGTATCACCACTGCTATCCAACATAGTAATTGAAGTCCTAGCCTCAACAATCAGACAACAAAAAGAAATAAAAAGGCATCTGAATTGGCAAACAAGAAGTCAAACTCTCACTGTTTGCAGAGGATATAACAGTTTATGTGGAAAACCCAGAAGACTTCACCCCAAAACTGCTAGAACTCATACAGGAATTCAGTAAAGTGTCAGGATATAAAATCAATGCACAGAAATCAGTTGCATTTCTATACACCAACAACAAGACAGAAGAAAAAGAAACTGAGGAGTTGATCCCATTTATAACTACACCCAAAACCATAAGATACCTAGGAATAAATCTAACCAAAGAAAACTATAAGGTTCTCATGAAAGAAACTGAGGAAGACACAAAGAAATGGAAAAACGTTCCATACTCATGTATTGGAAGAGCAAAATATTGTGAAAATATCCATGCTACCTAAAGCAATCTACACATTTAAAGCAATCCCTATCAAAACACCCTCAGCTTTTTTCAAAGAAATGGAGTAAATAATCCTAAAATTTATATGGAACCAGAAAAGACTGAATAGCCAGAGGAACACTGAAAAAGAAAACCAAAGTTGGTGGCATCACAATTCCAGACTTCAATCTCTATTACAAAGCTGTAATCATCAAGACAACATGGTACTGGCACAAAAAGAGACACATAGATCAATGGAACAGATTAAAGAACCCAGAAGTGGACCCTCAACTCTATGATCAACTAAGTGACAAAGTAGGAAAGAATGTCCAGTGGAAAAAAGACAGCCTCTTCAACAGTGTTGGGAAAATTGGACAGACACATGCAGAAGAATGAAACTGGACCATTTCCTTATGCCACACACAAAAATGGACTCAAAATGGATGAAAGACCTCAATGTGAGACAGAAATCCATCAAAATCCTTGAGAAGAACACAGGTAGCAACCTCTTCGACCTCAGCTGCAGTAACTTCTTCCTAGAAACATCCCCAAAGTCAAGGGAAACAAGGGCAAAAATGAACTATTGGGACTTCATCAAGATCAAAAGTTTTTGTACAACAAAGGAAACAGTCAACAAAACCAAAAGACAACTGACAGAATGGGAAAAGATATTTGCAAATGACATATCAGATAAAGGGCTAGTATCCAAATACTATAAAGAACTTATCAAATTCAACATCCAAAGAACAAATAATCCAATCAAGAAATGGGCAGAAGACATGAACAGACATTTTTGCAAAGATGGCCAACAGACACACAAAGAAGTGCTCAATATCACTCGGCATCAGGGATATACTAATCAGAACCACAATGAGATACCACCTCACACCAGTCAGAATGGCTAAAATTAAGGCAGGAAATGACAGATGCTGGCGAGGATGCAGAGAAAGGGGAACCCTCCTACACTGTTGGTGGGAATGCAAGCTGGTGCAACCACTCTGGAAAACAGTATGGAGGTTCCTCATAAAGTTGAAAATAGAACTACCCTATGACCTAGCAATTGCACTGCTGGATATTTACCCTAAGGATACAAATGTGGTGATCCAAAGGGGCATATGCACCCCAATGTTTATAGCAGCAATGTCCACAATAGCCAAACTATGGAAAGAGCCTACATATCCATCAACAGATGAATGGATAAAGAAGAGGTGGTATATATATATATATATATATATATATATATATATATATATATATGCAATGGAATACTATACAGCCATCAAAAAAGAAATCTTGCCATTTGCAAGGACATGAATGGAACTAGAGGGTATTATGCTAAGTGAAATAAGTCAAGCAGAGAAAGACAGTTATCATATGATCTCACTGATATCGGAAATTTGGGAAACAAGACAGGAGGATCATAGGGGAAGCAAGGGAAAAATGAAACAAGATGAAACCAGAGAGGGAGACAAACCATAAGAGACACTTAATCTCAGGAAACAAACTGAGGATTGCTGGAGGGGAGGGGGACTAGGAGGGATGGGGTAGCTGGGTGATGGGCATTGGGGAGGGTATGTGCTTTGATGAGTGCTGTGAATTGTGTAAGCCTGATGATTCACAGACCTGTACCCCTGAAACAAATAATGCATTACATGTTAATAAAAATTAATTAATTAATTAATTTAAAAGATTATGAAAGTCACTATTACTTGAAGTAATCATTTTCTAATGGTCTATCAGATGATTTCTCAGGTAGTTGGATTAAGGATAGAAGTCTTTTCTCTTAATCACAACAAATAATCATAGTATACCACATTCTGTCTTCTCTAGAAAAGTAAAATATACTGTACTCCCAAATTTAGAAGATAGATTTCGAATTTAGGATATAGAATGAGTCTCTTCCCTTTTGCTGACCTTTCCCCTTATATGTAGACATTATTGTTTTTCTGCCCCTTTTCAGAAATAGAACTAAGTAATACATTTGTTTTTAAGATTTGTTCTTATTTTGCTCAATTATTAATTAACAAAATTAATGATTTCTTACCTTTCAATTAATTTTAGAAATTAACTAACTGACTTCATGAATTATCCAGGAAAGTTGTTAGCTTAAGAACTGTTTTCTCATACTACATCAAGAACAATATAACAATAAAACAAAGAAAAATAAATGTTTTCTCTACAAAAAAAAATTGTGATAAACCAATCTTTTAATTGGTAATACTTTCATGATTTGTGAAAATTTCAATTACCAGTGTGGGTCTTTAATATAAATGCAGTTTTAAGTTCAAGATAGGGTCATTAAAAGATAAACTGTGATTAAAATAGACAGCAAAAATAACACATCTTGAGTAACCTGTTCATTAATATTTCCTTAAGATAGGTTTATTACAGCTGAATAGGATGAAAACCTAGTTTTCTTAGTATCCTAGTATCCTTACTTATTATCCTACTGAGATACAGGAAAGTTTTCTGATGGAGAAAAAAGTTTGAAGTAGAGAACACTAAACATTTAAGCAAGCATATACACATGTTTACCAAATTTGAAATGATTCTTTAAATTAGTACCTTACCTTTGCAGAAGATGCAAAGGACCACAACCAAATACAAAAAGATCAGGTTCATGGTGGTGATTTGGGACCTAGAAATGGGGACCAGTCATCCTGGAGAACCAGGTCCATAAGGGACCCTCTTACAGAAGTTTTTATACCCACTCTTACCACAGTTTCTCATAATGGGCTAGGTGTGGTGATGATAGAGCAAGATAAATATTATAGCATGCCAAAGATGAAATCCGTTTCAAGTCAATTTAGTGTTTTATTCATGCCATCTTCTACCTTGGATCAAGTCCAGCTCACACTAAACCCAAAGCATACCTTCTTGCCACCCTGTACAAACAGGAAAGGCAGGAAATAAAAGCCCCAGGATTAAAAACCAAATATGCCAATAATATACATTTGTCTGTACCCTATTAGTCATCACAAAAGTCTTAATACCTCAAGAAACTCAAATAGTGTGATTAAATATTGATTAAATATTGTAATATTGTCTCTCCCTTAACAACAAAACGTACTTTAAACATTAATCTACCTTGAAACAAAGAACTCTTTTCTTATCAATATATTAATGGGTATTTCGTTATGAAAGCATGTAATTATCACATAGGCATAGCATAAGTATGGCTATGGATAAACTAAGACATACAATGCACTATGGTCACTGTAATAGCTCCATTACTCACAGGACACATGATATTCCAATGATATGCATGCTTACCCTGAACTTTATAATCAGATATATAACTAGAAGACATGAAAATGAGAACATCAGAAATAGAATGTTTTAGAACAAAAATAAAATTAAATAGAAAATACCACCCATGAATTATATATGTGGATATTCTGGGGTATGGAGAAGAAGTTCAAGTCATGGTCTAAGAGGAGAAGTCATGGTCTAAGAGGAGAAGTTCTGGTCTGTGCTGAGCAGGGTAGAGGTGATTGGCCATGAAAGGTGACCCTGAAAACTAGAAAGGGCCAACTCCACAGTTTGATGATGCTCCCAATCACCATAAAGGAAAGGCTTCAGTGCACTTGTGGTGAACATAGTATAATGTATAAACCTGTCAAATCACTACGTGTACACCTGAAACTAATATAACATTGTATGGGGACTATACTCAAATAAAACTTAAGAGGAGAAGAAAAGGTGTCAGTAGCCAAAGGGAAAATAGTCCTCAGTCTTATCTTCAGAAAAGCAGAAAAATCCCAAGAAAAGGGGAAAACTATGAATAAGCATCCTTTTCTTTCCTTTTTATCCCCTCATTCTCAACTAATCTGAAGGGATTAAATGAACTTGCCTTGTCAGAGGGCCTTACCAATTCAGAGTGAAAACTTTCACTCATGCACTTCCTGTCCCCATGAAATCTCCTTAGTCTCTTTGTTGATTCCTTAAATCATCTTGAAGGAGTACAATATTTATCAGGTTTAAATATTTTAAATGCATTTTCCTGTTTAAGGTAACACATTCAATGGAAGCCATGCATTTTTTATCTGACATCAGTGAAAATGTGAGAGTTTTCCTGGTGGGGCAGGGATTTGGAGAGTAGGCAAACAACAGACACAGGAGTGATGGGGAGAAGGCTCACTCTAAGAACAGAGAAGGAGGTAACAGAGATTGGAGGGGATAAAACTAACTTCATTAACTTTGTAGTTTTTCCAAAACCTAGCTCTGGTTGTTCTAGCACTTTGCAAATAAAGACTAGGTACTGAGGATTTTTCTCCAACACAGAAAAAAAGTGTAGTTATTAGGGAATATTGCCCTTTGAGACATATGACTCATATGAACATGGCCATTTACAACATTCTTTTGTTTTTTTAATCATACATGACTTTATTGTGAAGGAGATTTGTTCTTGGAGAGCCCATTTTTCAGATTATCACTATGACATGATTATTCTGCTATGGGTCAACTGTGGACATAGATATGTAGACCAGAATGAAACAAAGTTACCTTGAGGCTTTGGGGGGACTAAGACTACATGCAAATGGGAAACTTTCCATTAAGTAGGGATCAGGTGAAATTGCTATGGAAGCTTGAAGGAAGGTGGCACTCTTAGCTTGTGAAAATCAGGGAAAATTTCATGGAGAGGCTAGTTTAAGGGCTGAACCTGAGAAAAGAAAGTAGATAAAATCTGAACATGCAGAATTAAGGAAGGATTCCAAATGGAAAATGCATTATGAAAAAGTCAAATGCAGTTTCAAGCATTCGAATGTCTTACCACCCACTTCTCTTTCTAGATCACATGTTCTAGTAGTACAATTCCAAGAATCTACTGCATCCAGTGGAACCCACAAGGCATGGATCCTGCTACATTTCATTCACCCTCACTCCCCTCAACAATTCATTTACTCTCTTACTTGGCTTAGATTGTATGGTTAATTATCATTATTCCTTTGCATGAACCCTTAATTCTTTTCCCTATTAAATCTCTGACCCCAGTTGGCCCCTGAAGACAGGCAATTATATCTCATCTATTTGCTTTCACACTCTTCATGCTTTCTCTTCTCTTCTCCAATATCTGATGCTTCCTTTCCATCATCCCTCTCAGTTAATGACCTTACTTCTAATTTTACTGAGAAAGTATAAGCTGTCAAAAAAGAAACTCTGTAAGCTCCCATCCACAAATATATCCATCTACTGGTATCTGTACCCTTTGCTCTGCCTGCCTTCTTTATTAATACACAAGAACTCTCTGTGCCACAATCTATGTCAATTTGTGTATAGGATTTCATCTAAGAACATTAATGCCAGTAATTTGTTCACCTGTGTCCATATCACCAAGGTTTCTTTCCTCTTTTGGATTAATCCCAGTGGTATAAATACATGCTATTATGTGTTCTTCCTAAGAAAAACAAATGTAACCAAAAAAGTAACTTTATGATGTCTGGATTGTATGTCAATAAAGCTGTTACTTAAAAAAAAAAAAAAAAGATGTTGAACTCTCTTCCTTCTGCTCTCTTCCCATTTTTCCGCTATCCTAATGGCTAAACTTCACAGAAGTTCCTTCACTGACTCCATTCCTGACTTCTTTCTCCATAAACTTTACTCAACCCCCATTAAGTTCTCTCCATCACTGCACAAAATCAAGGATACAGGTGATCTAATGGGAATCCAGTGGTCAATTGTCAATCCTCATTTTACTGACCTCTCAACAACATTTGACACATACTTGATCAATTCCTCCTTCTTAGGACACTTTGACTTCTGCAATTTCCAGTTTTTTCCTGTTTCATGAGCTGTTCCCTCTTGTTCACCTCTGCCAAATCCTCATCTCCAGCACCTCTTAACATAAGGGACGTGACACTCAATTTTGGATCTCTTCTTTTTCTCTAGACACTTCACTCTCTTGGTGATGGTACCCAAATTCTATGGGTTTACATACCATTCAGATACTCATGACTTCCAAGTTTATATAACCAGCCCTGGACTATTCCCCTGCCTCCAAGCTTATTTTCCACATCTTCACCTGGATGTCTAATAGGCAACTAAACTCAATGTGACCCAAATGAAATTCTAAACCCATTCCTCCCACCAATGTCCTCTTCCTAGTATCTTTTTTTTTTTTTTAATATCAAGTAATGGAAAATCTGTCTGGATTACCTGACCCCTCAAATGTATAGCCATTCTTGAATTTTCCTTTTCCTTTTCTTTTTGCATGCCTCCTACACACACATACTGCATCAGAAAATCCTGTCGGTTCTCAATTTAAAATAAACCCAGATTGAAACCGCTTCTCATGACCACCTCCTCTCCCACCACTCTGACTCCCCTCATTCAGGACACCATTACCTCTGACCTTGATTACCACTTCTAGCTAGTCTCCCTTTTTATGATCTCAGAACATCAGCTAGAATAGTCTTGTGCAAACTGACTTTTAACATACATTTTTCTACTCAAAACACTGTAGGACCCCTCCCCTTAATTCACCAAATAAAAGCAATATCTTTAATATGGTCTACAAGGCCCTCCTCCATCAGCCCCAAATCTGATTTCACTTTCTGCCTGCTTGTTCTCACTCTCTCTGCTCCAGCCTCAGAGGCCTCCCTGCTGTCACTGTTCCTCACCAGGCAACCCTACCTCAGAGTTTCTGCATTTGCTGTTTTTGTTCCCTGGGATACTCTCTCCTCAGGTATCCACCGAATGTGCTCTTTCACCTCATTAAAACCTGCATTTTAATGACATTTTGCAAATTGTTAATATCTACTTTCACATGCTATAATTATTTTCCTCCAAAATGTCCATTTTCAGGGTTATGATTAGACTTTAGCCTTGGTGAGTCAGAACCTATCCATGTGTAAGAGATTTAAAATATGGACAATTTGCATATGTTTCAAACAGATGTCCAAAAAGATAGTTACATAATATAATTCTAGGCATGATCAATATTGTATGCTATTAAACTAAATATTTTAATCTCAAAATAAATTAGAAGACTTTTTAATTTCTTATAATTTATTTATACCTTTATGCAATTCCTAATTCTTCCCCAAAATATCAATCCCTCACTTCATTCAGGTCTTTGCCCAAAACCACCTTCACATGGACACCTTCCTTGAATAAATTACAAACCTCACCTCACAGCACTCCTTCCCTCTACTCTTTTCTGTTTTATTTTTCTCCGTAGCTTTTACCACCATCTAATGTATACTTTTACTTTATCTTTTAATACATATAATTATGTCTGTCTTTAGTACTAGAATGTTCAATTAGGGCAGGGGTCTCTATGTGTTTTGTTCACTACCGAGTTCCAGTGCCTACAAATGACTCTGGCATATGCTAGATGCTCAATAAATATTGAATAAATGATTTATTTTTTTAAAGAGTATTTATTTGTCAGAGAGAGTGAGCACAGGCAGACAAAGTGGCAGGCAGAGGCAGATGGAGAAACAGGCTCCCTGCTGAGCAAGGAACCTGATGTGGGACTTGATCCCAAAACACTGGGATCATGACCTGAGCCGAAGGCAGCTGCTTAACCAACTGAGCCACCCAGGCGTCCCTGAATAAATGATTTAATGAATAATTTTGCTATGCTCAAAAATAAAAATCACATTAAATAATAATGATAATAATAATGATAAACAAGATTTAATATTAAAGTT